TCATTGGTTTCAAAGAACTTCTTTATTTCTGCCTTTTGTTATTTACCCAGTAGTCATTCAGGAGCAGGTTGTTCAGTTTCCATGTAGTTGTGTAGTTCTGAGTGAGTTTCTTAATCCTGACTTCTAATTTGATTGCACTGTGGTCTGAGAGAATGTTGTGATTTCTGTTCTTTTGCATTTGCTGAGGAGTGTTTTACTTCCAATTATGTGGTCAATTTTAGAATAAGGGCTGTGTGGTGCTGAGAATAATGTATATTCTGTTGATTTGGGGTGGAGAGTTCTGTAGATGTCTATTAGGTCTACTTGGCTCAAAGCTGAGTTCAAGTCTTGAATATCCTTGTCACTTCTCTCTCATTGATCAATATTGACAATAGGGTGTTAAAGTCTCTCACTATTATTGTGTGGTAGTCTAAGTCTCTGTAGGTCTCTAAGAACTTGCTTTATGAATCTAGGTGCTCGTTTATTGGGTGTGTGTATATTTAGGATAGTTAGCTCTTCCTTTTTTATCTTTGTTTAAAGTGTTTTATCAGAGACTAGGATTGCAATCCTTGCTTTTTTGCTTTCCATTTGTTTAGTAAATATTCCTCCATTCTTTCATTTTGAGCCGATGTGTGTCTTTGCATGAGAGATGGGTCTTGATTCTATCCAATGTGCCAGGCTATGCCTTTTAATTGAAACATTTGGCCATTTACATTTAAGGTTAATATTATATGTGAATTTGATCCTGTCATCATAATGCTAGCTGGTTATTTTGCACATTAGTTGATGAAGTTTCCTCATAGTGTTGTTCGTCTTTATATTTTGGCGTGTTTTTGCAGTGGCAGGTACGTTTTTCCTTTCTGTATTTAGTGCTTCCTTCAGGAGCTCTTATAAGGCAATTCTGGTGGTAACAAAAATCCCTCAGCATTTCCTTGTCTGAAAAGAATTTTATTTCTCCTTTGCTTATGAAGCTTAGTTTGGTTGGAGATGAATTTCTGGGTTAAATTCTTATGAATGTTGAATATTGGGCCCCCACTCTCTTCTAGCTTGCAGGGTTTCTGCAGAGAGATCCACTGTTAGTCTAATAGGCTTCCCTTTGTAGGTAACTTGGCCTTTCTCTCTGGCTGCCCTTAACATTTTTTCCTTCTTTTGATTTGGGCATTTAGTCCATTTACATTTAGGGTTAATATTGTTATGTGTGAATTTGATACTGTCATTTTGATGCTAGCTGGTTATTTTGCCCATTAGTTGATATAGATTCTTCATTGTGTTGATGCTCTTTACCATTTGGTACATTTTTAGAGTGGCTGGTACTGGTTGTTCCTTTATGTGTAGAGCCTCTTTCAGGAGCTCCTGTAAAGCAGGCCTGGTAGTGATGAAATCTCTGAGTACTTGCTTGTTCGCAAAGGATTTTATTTTTCCTTCACTTATGAAGCTTAGTTTGGCTGGATAGGAGATTCTGGGTTGAAAGTTCTTTTCTTTAAGGATGTTGAATATTGGCCCCCACTCTCTTCTGGCTTGTAGGGTTTCTGCTGAGAGATCTGCTGTGAGTCTGATGGGCTTCCCTTTGTGGGTAGCCCGACCTTTCTCTCTGGCTGCCCTTAGCATTTTCTCCTTCATTTCAACCCTGGTGAATCTGATGATTCTGTGCCTTGGGGTTGCTCTTCATGAGGAATATCTTTGTGGTGTTCTCTGTATTTCCTGGACTTGAATATTTGCCTGCCTTGCTAGGTTGGGGAAGTTTTCCTGGATAATATCCTGAAGAGTATTTTCCAGCTTGGACTCATTCTCTTTGTCACACTCAGGTACGCCTATCAAACGTAGATTAGGTCTTTTCACATAGTCCCACATTTCTTGAAGACTTTGTTCATTCCTTTTTACCCCTTTTTCTCTAATCTTGCCTTCTCATTTTATTTCTTTGAGTTGATCTTCGACCTCTGATATCCTTTCTTCTGCTTGGTCAATTCGGCTGTTGAAGCTTGTGCATGCTTCGAGAAGTTCTCGTGTTGTCTTTTTCAGCTCCATCAATTCACTTATATTCCTCTCTAATTTGTCCATTCTCATTAGCATTTTCATCAGATCTTTTTTCAAGGTTCTTAGTTTCTTTGCATTGGGTTAGAACATGTTCTTTTAGCTCACGGAAGTTCCTTATTACCCACCTTCTGAAGTCTGATTCTGTCACTTCATCACACTCATTCTCCATCCAGCCTTGTTCCCTTGCTGGTGAGGAGTTGTGAACCCCTGTAGGATGAGAGGTGTTCTGGTTTCGGGTGTTTTCATTCTTTTTGCACTGGTTTCTTCCCATCTTTGTGGATTTATCCACCTGTCGTCTTTGTAGTTGCTGACTTTCAGATCGAGTCTCTGAGTGGACGTCCAATTTGTTGATAATGAAGTTATTTCTGTTTCTTAGTTTTCCTTCTAACAGTCTGGCCCCTCGGCTGTAGGACTGCTGAGGTCCACTCCAGGTCCTGCTTGCCTGGGGATCACCTGCAGCAGCTGCAGAACAGAAACGGTTGCTACCAGTTTCTTTTTCTGCTATCTTTGTCCCAGAAGGACACCGGCTAAATGTCAGTCTGATCTCTCCTTTATGAGGTGACTCTTTGGATATACAGGGGTCAGGGAGCCGCTTGAGGAGACTGTCTGTCCTTTACATGAGCTCAAGTGCTGAGTTGTGAGCTCCATTTTTCATTCAGGGCTGCTGGGCAGGTACGTTTAGGTCTGCTGAAGCAGAACTCATAAACACCTTTTTTTTTCCCCCAGGTGCTCTGTCCCAGGGAGTCAGGGCTTTATTTACGAGTTTCCATTGTGCTGCTGCCTTTTTTTTTTTCAGGGCTGCCCTGTGCAGCAAGGAGGCAGCCTAGTCACTGTCTGCCTGCAGAGGCTTTGCTGAGCTGCTGTGGGCTCCGCCCAGCTGTTGTGTGAACTTCCCTGCAGTCCTGTTTATATGGGTGCAGTTAGAACTGTCTCAGCATTGGTGGCCCACCTCTGTAATGGCAGAATCTTGCTGTAACAGCAGGTTGCCTTGGCAATGGCGGGTTGCCTCGGCAACGGCAGACTACCTCCGAAGTGGTGGAGTGCCTCGGCAATGGCAGACGCCCCTCCCCCACAGAGCTGGACAGTCCCGGATTCAGCTGTGCTTGCTGTGAAACTCTCAATCCAAAGTTTCTGATTGCTATTCTTTTGTGGGGGTGGGACCAGCCGAGCTTGATCACCTGGCTCCCTGCCTCAGAGCCTTTTGTTTTTTAGCTGAACAGTCAACTCTCTCCCAGGTGTTCCAGTCACCTGTTGAAAAGGCGCCAGGGTCTATGTGATTTCCCCTGTGGCGACTCACTGTGCTGGCTTAAACAGTGGCACTGAGATTCATGGGGCTTTTTTGTTTGTTTTTGCCCGGGAATCTCCTGGCCTGGCTCCCTGTTTCAGACCCCTTTTTAGTCAGATGAATGGGCGACTGCGCCTTCCCGGGGCTCCAATTGCCAGCTATAAAAGGGCACCCGGACCAGTGTATTTTGTATGGAGAACTGCCGTGCCGGGGCACCGCAAAGCAGCCGTGTGGGCCAAAAGCCGTGGGGACCTAAACGGGCTGCGCCGGCCAAAACAGTCGCACTGGTGACCCGTGGGGCTCCTCGCCTGGGAATCTCCTGGTCTTTGGGCAATAAAAATCCATCTGCAAATGTGTCATCCACTCACCCTCTGTGCTTTCACTGGGAGCTGCAATCCTGAGCTGTTCCTAAACGGCCATCTTGGATCCGGTCCCAACATTTTTTCCTTCATTTCAGCCTTGGAGAATCTGATAATTATGTGTCTTGGGGTTGATCTTCTTGAGTATCTTAGTGGTGGTCTCTGTATTTCCTGACTTTGAATGTTGCCCTGTCTTACTAGGTTGGAGAAGTTCTGGGTAATATCCTGAAGTGTGTTTTCTAAGTTGGTTCCATTCTCCCCGTCACTTTTAGGTACACGAGTTAATCATAGGTTTGGTCTTTTGACATCATCCCATATTTCTTGGAGGCTTTGTTCATTCCTTTCATTCTCTTTAATCTTGTCTTCTCACCTTATTTCAGTAAGTTGATCTTCAGTCTCTGATATCCTTTCTTCCACTTGATTTGGCTATTAATACTTATATATGCTTCATGAAGTTTTTGTGCTGTGTTTTTCAGCTGCATCAAGTCATTTATGTTCTTTTCTAAACTGGTTATTACCGTTAGCAGTTCCTGTAACCTTTTATCAAGGTTCTTACCTTCCTTGCATTGGGTTAGAACATGTTTCTTTAGCTTGGAGAGGTTAGTTATTACCTGCTTCTGCCAATTTGTCAAACTCATTCTCTGTCCAGCTTTGTTTCCTCGCTTGAAAGGAGTTGTGATCATTTGGAGGAGAAAAGGCATTCTGGTTTTTGGGATTTTCAGCATTTTTGCACTGGTTTTTCCTCATCTTCATGGATTTATCTACCTTTGATCTTTGAGGCTGATGACCTTTGGATGGGGTTTTTATGTTGGGGTCCTTTTTGTTGATGTTGTTTTCTGTTTTCAAACAGTCAGGCCTGTCTGCTACAATTGACTGGGGGTCCACTCCAGACCCTGTTTGCCTGGGTATCACCCGCAGAGGCTGCAGAACAGGAGAGACTGCTGCCACTCTTTCTCTGGAAGCTTTGTCCCACAGGGGCACTGGCCTGGTGCCAGCCAGAACTCTCCTGTATGAGGTGTCTCCCAGTCAGGAGGCACAGAGGTCAGGGACCCACTCACGGAGGCAGTCTGTCCCTTAGCAGAGCTCAAGTGCTATGCTGGGAGAATCCTCCTTGTCAGGATCATCTGCTGTCTTCAGAGCTGGTAGGCAGGAACGTTTAAGTCTGCTGAAGTTATGCCCACAGCCGCCCTTCCCCCAGATGCTCTGTTTCAGGGAGATGGGAGTTTTATCTATAAGCCCTGACTGGAGCTGCTGGGGAGGCCATTTTTAAACATGAAAAATAATCATTTTTAAACATAAAAAAATTCTTCCCTCCACAAATAAGAAGAAACAGGAAGCAGAGCTGAAGAGATCAGCAAACAAAAATGCCCACAGCCAGTGTTTATTCTTGATTTGTTACCACTCTTTTTATGTCTCATTTTCCTCCACATGTTAAATATATAATAACCAAAACTTTATTAACATACAAATAAAGAAAACATGCGCAGCATGTAAGCATGGCAGGTAGTGAGGAAACCTGGCCAGCTGACTGGTTCTTGCACCAAGGTTTACAGAGTAAGTTGTGTTTAAACATCTTCTGTGCATCTGTGTCATTTCCAAGTTGAAGAATTTCAATCAAAGAGCAACATATGTCACATGGGTTAAAGACAGACAATTAATGACACAGAAGCATTTCTGCTCATACTAAGGGAAAAGGCTGTTTTATTTTTTTCCCCGAGTTATAACTTTGTTCTTTTCTGAAAAATGTTTTAAATACAGTGAAATACCAAAGGAGACAAGGATTAAGCAGACAAAGGATGGAATCAGAAAAAACAGAAATGGAATCCAGGAAGTTGTGTGGGACACAACTGATGTAGCTCTTTGATAAAGAAAAAAATGTACAGAATAGTTAATGAGTCTGTCTTGGGAAAAGGAAAGAGAAAAACACATTGTTTTGTTTTATATAAGCAGCTAAGCTATTTGCAGAAGGAAAAAACGTCATGGGAAAAAGAAAAATGTCTAATATCTATAGCGCATGAAATATCTAAGCAGGTGGGTACAGTGGCTTATGCCTGCATTGGGAGACCCAGGCAGGTGGATCGCTTGAGGTCAGTAGTTCAATACCAGCCCAGTCAAGGTGGTGAAACTCCAACTCTACTAAAAATACAAAAATTAGCAAGGTATGGTGCCTGTAATCTCAGTTACTCGGGAGGCTGAGACAGGAGAATCACTTGAACGCAGGCAGTGGAGGTTGCAGTGAGCCAAGATCACACCACTGCACTCCAGCCTGGGTGACAGAGCAAGACTTCATCTCAAATATATATATATATTTGAGATGTATATATATACTTAGTAAATATTAAAGGACAAGAGGGAGTATCTTTAAAAAATTATAATGCACATGTTGGATGAAAGGTACTATTATAGGATTAGATCGCTGTTATTGAAATAGCAGTTGACATATAAACTCAAACATTCATTTTCAAATTCAGCTTCTCAGAGGTTTGACTTCAGATGCCTGAGTACTTTCAACATTATCTTTGCCTTTATCCTTCTTCATGCGGATAAACACAACTGTTAAAATTATACCTAAAAGAAAAAACCCAGGGTCAAATAAATGGGATCTTTTAAAATGTACTGTCACATTCATTTATGAAGTAGTACTGTGATGGGAAAAAATCAAACTCATCTTTGTATGTGGTTTAACAAAGTTTCATTTCCTAGTGAATAAGGGACTGTAGTTATTGACCTTCTTGGAGGGAAATAAGCTTATCATTTATCCTGTTGTATGTATGTCTCAAGTCCCAAGCCATAGCTGACTTGGTGGCTCTCACTGGATCTCTCCCTAAGAATATAGGACCTAATGTGCCACACTATGGAGTGTATAAGCACCTGACAAAGTTCCTGAACTTTATATATACTTAATATTGATTCTATTCTTCCCCTTTCCTAGAGAAAATAATCCAATTAGCACAACCAGAAAGCTGTTCTCTGACCTGCTCACCTCCCTGAAGCTGACTTTCATTGTGTCCACACCAGACATCGCATTTCCTTGGGCACCTTCCTCTTGCATCCTGCCTACATTGTTGTGGGACCCTGGGTAGACTATTTAACTTTCTTGATTTCTCCCATCTGATAAAATTACAGTGCGCATCTTAGCACTGATTGTGTACTGTCAAACAGTCTACTACAAAGAAGGGAGCTGTTTGAAGGAAACTAACCTGCTAGTAAGTTTATAAGAGGAATCATGGCAGAAAAGACTGGTTGCTCAGAAACTTAGTTGCAAGATAGGTTTGGAATTATAAGGGCATGAAACTGTAAAATCCTATTCTATTTCTAGATGTCCCCAAACTTAACCAGTCTTTAACTTGTGGCAGGATTATAGAATGAAATTGGTATGTTAAGAAAACTGCTATTTGATATGTAAATTCAAAAATCCTTTCAAGGTGGGAGGGCCAATAAAGCAGAGGCAGAAGGGACCTTGGTAAGTGAGTGGGACCTCAAAAAGCCAGCTCAATTACCATGAAAAGTGTGCAGCAGATAGTGGTTCTCAGGGAGAAATGGTGATCACCATGCACACATTAGGACGGGCAGTGGCCATGACATGAACGCCCTCCCATGCCATAGGGAGTGTGGACTGGAGGGTATAAAGAAATGGGGACCCCTTTCTTTATACTCTGATGCATGAATCAGAGTCCAGTGTGACACACTGGATCATGAGATAAAAGACCAGATGCTGAGAGATCAAGAATACTTAGAATAATCCTAGCCTTTCTTTTAAAAGAAAAAGCATATGAAACCATGACCCACTTCACTTAGGTACGAATGAAATAATGAAGTACCTACTTCTAATATGTTTAACTTGTGGAGGGGACAACACTTGAAAGAAGGTAATTACTATACATAGGTTGAGTATCCCTAATCTGAAAATCTCAAATCTGAAACTTTTGGGGTACCAACTTGATGCCACAAGCAGAAAATTCTACACCTGACCTCATGTGACAGGTTACAGGCAAAACTTTGTTTCATGTACAAAATTACCTAAATTTGGTATGAAGCCGGGTGCAGTGGCTCATGCCTGTTATCCCAGTACTTTGGGAGGCAGACGGGCGGATCACCTGACGTTAGCAGTTTGAGACCAGCCTGGCCAACATGGTGAAATCCCATGTCTACTAAAAATACAAAAACTAGCCAGGCATAGGTGGCGGGTGCCTGTAATCTCAGCTACTCAGAAGGCTGCGGCAGGAGAAGTGTTTGAATCTGGGAGGCAAAGTTTGCAGTGAGCTGAGATGGTGCCACTGCACTCCAGCCTGGGCAACAGAGTGAGACCCCATCTCAAAAAAAAAAAATTGTATGAAATGCTTTCAGACTATGTGTATAAAGTGAATTTTATGTTGAGATATCTTGGGGATGGGACCCAAGTCTCATCATGTATTTACAAATGTTCAAAAATCTGGAAACACTTCTGCTCTCAAGCATTTTGGGTAAGGAAACAATTTGAGTAGGCACTGAGTTGTTTGCAAACGAGAAAAAAAAAAAAAAAAAGCTAGATCAGGGGACTCTATTGTCTAGCCAGGCCAGAGGCTATGGTAGAGGCTCTGGTCATGATGCAATGAGTTATTCTGAGTAATAAAGAATCAGGGTCCTATGCATAGGGAAGTTCTACACTATACATGTCAGGTATCTCAGTGTCTCCACAGAAATAAGGGTATGCATGATATTGTACCTGGTTTTCAGGGTATTTACCACCTTTTTTAAAATAGAAAATTAAGAGTGCAAAAACACTAAACTTCACATTTCTAAAAAATTTGATTTTGTCAACTTCTACCTCTCACGACAGTGGCAGGTGAGACCATAAACTCTGTTGTAGGATCGATGTATGTCTCGCCTGTCGCTATCCCCCACATCAAGCACAGTGCATGATACACGGCACACTCCATTTCTTCCCTCTTTATCACAAAGCATTGTAACTAGGCATGAAATATAGCAATTGATGGCTATAAAGCCCCTTATATTTCTAAACTAAACAATAAGGCAATAGAGACAGAGGGTGGTACTAAAGCTGAAACTCCAACCAAGAAAGTCTGATATAATTTGCCAGTGATCTACCTTCTGGGCTATTGCCTGGGTTGCCATTTGAGCAGCCATTAGACCAGTCCAGGAAGACAGGCCCTGAGATAAGCTCACATTTCTGAGGCCCAGGATAAGACGCTGAATTAAGAAATTACACTCACCAATGACCAGAAGGGTGGTCAACAGTATACCAACTGCCATGCCTATGGTGGGTATCCCAGGCTGGTGACCTGCTGGCCGGAAACAGCTTCCTTCCACACAAGTGCAGAATGTAACTGAAAAGCAAGACAGTATTTTGTAGGATAAATATTCAAGTGAATAGTTGCAGAATCCCACATCAAAGATGAGAATCTCCTCAAATGGCCCATGGTGACAGATACTAGCCTGAGTTGTCTATAGCAAAATACCTACCTGGTAAAGAAACAATGCCTTCTAAGGGGGGCCGACCCCCATCGTTGATGCGGATTAGGACAATATATTCCCTCTCCTCAAAGCTTGTGTGCCTGGTAGAGAGTCGGGCATGAGTAACTGCCAGGACAGGAAAGAAAACATGAAAACACAACTTCAGACCCTGGATCAGCAGGAATCAAGCTCATCTTACATCACATACTAAGGTTGACTGGAACATGGCTAGATATGAGTTAAGCTGCCGAAAGTATCACACACAACATTCCACATGTATCTTCTCATAAGGTAGGAAAGGGCTAAAGCATCCTTTAAGTTCTTAATTCATGATTTCTCTATAGAAATTAATACTAAATATGGTCAATTATCATTTCTGGCACTTATGCTCTATAAAGTTACCCCAAACACTGAATTAATGAATACTGAACCATTGCTCCTGGAAGAAATACAGGATTAGTTTCCTGTGAGCTTCTAGTCACATTTTCCCTAACTGATCAACATACAACCTTGTTTTTTTGTGTGCTTATGTTTCAAGATATCTTATTTAACATACATTGTTGACTCTAACATTTCACGCACATCTAACAGCGCTAGAACTCCTTCCTGAACCAAGCTTATCACACACACATATTTAGGTTGGTGGAAAAATAATTGCAGTTTTGGCCATGACTTTTAATCTGTGGCCCAAAACCACAATTTTTCTCTGTAAGGCACACATCACAGCCTTCCTCTGCTTAGGAACTCTAAACAGGACTTCAGCACTATAGTTCAGAGCCATTTTAAAAAATGAAATCATCAATGAAAAGCACAAAAATGTGAAAAACGGGGCACTACAAAAAGAACAAAAAGACCCACTTAACAGTATAAGAGCTGGGAACATATGTGTCCAGTAATTCAAATTTTTCACCACTCTGCCAGTGTCCATGAAAGCAAAAGCTTTAAGTACTGACTTTTGGGTTACAAATTTTATCACTTAGATGATTTTATAAACAGCATCTGCAAATAATGGAATCGACTGTATATGTCAGAAGATTGGACAGTACCTGGGACTGAGCATCTGCAGACCTGATCTGGGTTTCAAATCTGCTGCTTGTTAGCTATGTGATTGGGTAAGTCATAACATTTATAGGCCTCAAAATCCCTCTGAGTCCAGAAATAAGGGTATGCACGATATTATACCTGGCTTTCAGAGTATTTACCACCGTTTCTTAAAATAGAAAATTAAGAGTGCAAAAACACTAAATTTCAAACTTTTAAAAAATTTGGTCTTGTTACAATTTGTGCTTATGCCTTCCCTGTTCATATCTGCCAATGAATTTTCCCAGATTGGGGACGACTTAAATATTCATATTTAAAAATCATTATGGCCCACCTAGATAACATATAGTAACAGGGACCAGATTTACCATCCCACTAAAAACAACTAAAAGAACAGAAAATATATGAAACCATGGTTTTAAAGATTTATATATTAGGCAATGGACAGTGATTTCTAAAAGAAAAAAAGCAAATGAGGTAAATATTATAATTGCCTCAGCTTATCATCCAAAGCAAATATCCAGGTCTCAGTTGCAGAGAGTGGAATGTTCCCATGATGTCCCTGAGCTGAGGTGATGGAGCACAGGAGTAAGGGGAGGTCAAGGCAACTAGAGTTTACAGAGCAGAGTCCTAGAGAGAGCTGCAAAGAGAATGCTCACTAAAGAGATCTATAGAGGGGTCTCTTAAGGCTTTAGCTGAGTACTGATCAGCATCTGTGTATGAAGGAACTACTCAAGGCTGGGAAAAGAACCATCTGAAAGAGAGCACAGAGCTTACAAAGGGCCAGGAATCGTTCCTGGTTCCAAGAGCTGAAAATCTCATAATTCATGTGCTACCAGGTAGAGTATGCAGAAGGCTTCACCTCACAAGTTTGAAAACATTAACCCTAGAATAGTCCTACCTAAGAAAACTTAAAAGCAACACACACATGAAAGTGTCACATATTTTCCAAGCAATCTAACTGTATTTCACAATAAAGTTCAAGAATATTTATGGGAATACAAAATATTCAGCATCCAAATGTCTGGAATTTAATAAAAAATTGTCAGACATTCAAGAAAAGAGAAAAATATGACTCATGAGAGAAAAGATCAATTGAAGCCTACCTGGAAATGATATATATTACATAAATAGTAGGAAAAGACATGAAAACAGTTGTTATATTCTATGTTCAAGAAGCTACAAGACTGAGAAGTATAGATAGACATGGAACATACTTTAAAAACCCACAGTTAAGAAAACTACAAATAGACTAGGTTGTATTAATGGCTATAATATAGCCATTGAATATAGCAGAAAAAAAGCAATAAACTTGAAGATATAGAAATAAAGCTATCCAAAAAGAAATACAAAAAAGAGTAAGTTTGAGACAATTTAAGTGGCCTAATATATGTGTAATTAAATCCCTGAAAGCCAAGAAAGATAGTGGAGAGAAAAAAAATTGCTGAGATAATGGCTAATATTTTTTCCATGTTTAATGAAAACTCCAAATTTTCAGATCCAAGAAGATCAGCAAACTTCAGGAAGAAGAAAAATGAATAAAACACCACCAAAGCAATATAAGCATCAAATTACTTAAAACTAGTAAGAGAATACCTTAAAAGCACCCAGAGAAAAAATAATATAAACATTCAATGGAACAAAGAAGAAACCATAGTGGGCAGGGCACCCCAGGTGGTTTACACTTGTAATCCCAGCACTTTGGGAGGCCGAGGCAGGTAGATTACTTGAGGCCAGGAGTTGGAGACCAGTCTGGCCAACATGGAAAAACCTCGTCTCTACTAAAAATACAAAAATTAGCTGGGCATCATGGTGTGCGCCTGTAATCCCATCTACTAGGGGGCTGAGATTGCATCAGTGTACTCCAGCCTGGGCAACAGAGTAAGATGGTCTCAAAAACAACAACAAAAGTGGTGAAATATCTTTGAAATACTGAAAGAAAAAATGTCTCAAATTTAAAAGTATTCTAGTCATATGTTTTCTGGTTATGATGTACTTAAATTAGAAGTCAGGAAGTTATAGGAAATATTCCCAGAATATTTGTAAACTAACACATGATCACAAAATCTAAAGGGTTGGGTTCTACTGGAGTCACATAAGAGAAAAAAAAAATCTAAAGGGAAAACACAATATATCAAACTTTGTGAGCCAGGCATGGTGGTTCATACCTGCAATCCCAACATTTTGGGAGGTGGAGGTGGGAGGCTCACTTGAACCCAGGAGTTTGAGACAAGCCTGGATAACACAGGGTGATCCCCATCTTTACAAAAAAGTTGGCCAAGGGTGGAGGCTCCCACATGTAGTCTCAGCTACTTGGGAGGCTGAAGCAGGAGGATCATCTGAGCCCAGGAGTTCAAGGCTGCAGTGAGCCATGATCACACCACGGCACTGCAGCCTGGGTGACTGAAGGAAACCCTGTGTCTTAGAAAAAATGCAGCTAATGTAACACTAAGATAAATTTGTAGTACTAAATGTCTGTTTAACAAAAAGATCTCAAATTAATGGCATCAGCTTTAATGAAAACAGAACAAGAACAAAAACACGATGTAAGAAGAATAAAGGAAATAATAAAGATCTGGCCAGTGGAATACAAAACAGAAAAAAAAAAAAAATCAATGAAACCAAAAGCTGGTTCTTTGAGAATATCAGTAAAATAAACTTCTAGCCAGATTATCAGGAAAAAAGACAATTTGCCAATATCAGAATGAGGTGATAGCTCTACATATTCTACAGATATTAAGAAATAACAAAATATCATGAACGATGTCAATAAATTAGATAAATGAATAGACAAATTATTTGAAAGGTACAAGCTAACAAGCTCAACCAAAAAGAAATATATAAATTGAATTCTCATATATCTACAAAAGAAAATTGAATTTGTAGTTAAAACTTCTTTTAAAAAAATACACCAGGCCCAGATAACTTTACTGGCAAAAACTTTAAGAAAGAAATAATACCAATTTTATGCACGCTTGTCCAGATAATTGAAGATAAACAGGTCGAATGCTTCCTAACTCATTCTACAAGGCCAGCCTTGCTCTGGGGCCAAAGCCAAAGACACTACAAGGAGAAATATACAGAGAGACCAACATCCCTCATGAATATAGATGCAAAAATTATTTAAGCAGTTTTAGCAAATCAAACCCAACAATATATAAACATGGTAATATTTCATCACCAAGTAGGCTTTATCTCAGAAATATGTTAGTTTTAGATTCAAAAGTTGATATAATTCATCAATTAATAGACCTAAAAAATCAAATCAGCCACATAATCAATACATGGACAAAAAGCACTTGAAAAATTTAACATCCATTTTTAATTTAGAAAAAAAAAAACCTTCATAAATAGGAATAAAGGGTAAAGTCCTCAATCTAATAAAGATCACCTACAAAAAAACCTGCAGCTAACATCATACTTAATAGTGAAAGGCTAAATGCTTTATCCCTAAGATCATGAACAAGTCAAGTATTTCTGCTCTTACTACCTCTATTTGACATTGCACTGAAGGTTTCAGCCGGTAATTAAAGAAACAGAAGGCAAACAGATTGAAAAGGAAGAACTGTCATTATTCACAGACAACATGATCATATATGTAGAAAATCTATGAAATCTAAAAAAATAAGGTCAGCAAGGCTGTAGAATACAGATTAGTATACAAAAATTATATTGCTATATCTAGAAATATTTAAAATATCAAAAATATGAAATGATTGATTAGGGAAAATTTCGCAAGAGCTATATACTGAAAACTAAATCACATTGCTGAAAGAAATTAAAGAGCTTAGTAAGTGGAGACATAGTTGGAAGACTTAATTTTGTTAATATATCAATTCTACTCCAGATTCCCCTATAGATTCAACACAATCTCAATGGGCTTTTTTGGTAGAAAGGAACAAGCTACATTCTAAAATTTATATAGAAATGAAAAAGACATAGAATGAAGGAATTTTGAAAAAGAACCAAGTTGGAAAAATTAATCTACCTGATCTCAAGTCTTATAGAGCTATAGTAATCAAGACAATGTGTTGTTATAAAAATAGACACAGATGAATAAAACAAGAAAAATGCAGAAACAGATTTATGTATAGGTGGGCAGTTGTTTTTTGCCAAAGTTGTTAAGACAATTCAAGGTGAAAAGGATGTTTTAAACAAAAATGGTGTTAGAACAGTTAGATAGCTATGTTAAAAACAATAAACTTTGGTCTTTACCATGCTGCCTATGCAAGCACATCTCAGAGATATTATGGGTTTGTTTCAGGGTCACCACCGGTCATTAGAGAAATACAAATAAAACCATTATGAGATACTACTCCATGCCCACTGAAATGGCTAAAATTAAAGAGACCGAGCACAGCAAGTGCTGGGAGACTGCTGAGCAACTGGACCTCTCACGCACTGGTGAGAATGCAAAATGTTAAGAACAATTTGGAAAGCAGTTCAAACTTTTCTTAATCATACACCTCCCATACAACTCAGCCATTCCACTCCTTGGTTATTTAACCAAGAAATAACTTTCAGTATTTAACCAAGAAAACTGCAAACTTTTGTCCCTACAAAACATTTGTTCAATCCTCACAGCAGCTTTTTTTGTAATAGCAAAAGTTGGAAACACCCTTAGTTACAATCAACAGGTGAAAAGATACAGTCATTCAATGGAATACTACTCCTCAATAAAAAGGAACGAAGCATTGATGCCTGTAACAACACCAATATATCTCAAAATAATTATGAAGTAAAAGAAGCCAGACCAAAAAAGTATACATACTACACTATTCTACTTAGCTAAAATTATTGAAAATGAAAACTATTCTATAGTGATAGAAGGCACATCAGTGGTTGCCTGGGGAGAGGGTATGGGTGGGAAGCAGATATTATTATAGGGCATGAAATATCTTCTGGGGGTGGTGGAAATGTTCATTACCTTGATTGCTCTGATGGCTTCAGTAGTATTTACATATAGTCAATTCTCATGGAATTGTATACTTTAAATATATATTATATCTCAAAGCTTTTTAAAAAATTCTATAAAATCTGCTTTCTATCTGTCATTGGAAATTTTGCAAATGATTCCTAGGTCATCCAACTGCTCATCTACACCAACTGGATGCTGTGTGGGCACAATCTTTCCTCCCTTAAAAGCCTGGGGCTTTGTCCCCTGTGGAGTCCTTCCCTACGCAAGTTTCCAAAGCATGAACTTCCATCCTGGAGCACGAGAGAAAGCTCTGTGCTGAGTACTACAAACCCACCAAATTAATTAAAACCTACATTCACCATTCATCTGTTTTTTTCCATGTATTTTTGACAACTCACCGTTGATTTTGGAAACTTCCCAGTCATTTTCTAAGTTTCCACTGGCGAGGGAAAATGTAAAGTGGGGACCCCGAAATTTCGGCTGATCATCATCAGTAGCCTCGAAAATCAGACTTCCAGGTGCACGGAGGGGATGGCAGAAGAACAAGCCTGTGTACTCCTTGGCCAGCCTGGGAGGGTTGTCATTCACATCTAAAAGCGTCAGGTGGAACTCTGACACAGAGCTCAAGGAAGAACCCCCTAAAGAATTGAATGATTGAAACGTGGGATCAGTTCACTCATTTTCCTCTGAACAAGAAAGATTTCCCTTTCTTTAACATTTAAGCAGTTAGGTACACTGAGATGCTACAAAAAAGACAAGCATTTAGAATCAAAAACCTAGTTTCATTACTGGAGAAAAAGACTTACCATTATAATAACTAAGGTCTATGTGCTAATATTTTACAGATATTACTTCAAAATAATTCTGAAAACTGAGCTCAGAAGTTGTGTAACTGGCCCAAGGCAGAGAGGTTTTCAATCCAAGAGGTTTAACTCTAGCACTCACACCTTCACTTGCTCCTTACCAGGCCTTAAGCATGTTAGTAGAGTTTTCTAAACATGTTAGTCATGTTACTTTCTTCAGCTGTGTGGCTTTGTGAGCATCCCGCATATAAGTGAATGTTCTGGAAAAGTAAAAGCCTCCACAGACATTTACTGTATGATAGGAGTGAAAAACTTGGACTCTGCAGCATAACCGGTTGGTAGCTGCATAATCATGGGCAATTACTTAATTTCTCAGTGCTTTGGTTTCCTCGTTCATAATATGTGGTCAATAATAGCACCTACCTTATAGTGATGTAAGTTATGACACTGAGTGCTCTGTATGGGGCTGTCAGTGCAGCGTAAACACTGACCGTCATCATGTACTCCCCGACACCAATCACAGACATTGTTTCTACAACTTCTGACTCTAACCTTATTTGATTTCAGGAAACATTTTCTTGCTCCTGCTTCATTTCCAGTAAACCCTGTTTGCTTGCTTTTCTTCTCCACATCTTTTATGTCCATGGCTACACTTAACCAAAGACAAAAATGCTGCTGTGTGCTTGAAGTCATTGTATCTATTTACATCATGTCAGCATCAAAAACTAAAAACAGAACAGGGTTTTGGACCCTGGTTTTGATTTTTGAAACTCCTAGAATGTGAGAAACTCTTGGGACACATCCAGAGTGAACTGCTGATCCCCATGGTATGAGAAAGGGGTGTGCCTGGCATAAAGGCTCAGCCAGAACCTGCCTGCTGCTTCACTGGGAGCTTTTAAATCAAGAGTTAAAAATGTACACAATGTGATAGCAGAATGTGCTTAACTCAAGCAAGAGACAGAAACAGAGGGCCTGTCCACTCACACACACTCTTCCTGAGCTGGCACGCGGTTTCGCATTACTTGACTGAAGTAACTTTGTCTTTCTTAGTCTTTCCATACGCAGGGACCATTTTTATGATCCCTGTCTCTGTTCTCCATTTCAATTCTCAACCCTGGGCCTCACATTCTGAACGGTTTTTTTTCTGTGGCGGGGTGGGGGGGAACCGGGGGGGTGTCTAAAACTGTATTTATTGAGTAATAATTACTTTAATTATCTTTTCTGGTAAACCTGGCAGATACATTTACTAGCTAATTAGAGCCTGATCAGCACTGGATCAACAGATTTCCTACGTGTATGTTTCAAAATTCCATTACAATGCAAAGAAACTCAATGTGTTAGTTGCTAGGCTTATTATTGAGTAAACATAGTATTCTTATGAGTTTATTTTTATTTTAAAAATTATCTAGAACTCCACCTTTGGAGCCAGCAGGCAATATATATCACCACAACTGAAAAATGATGCAAAGATTATTCAAAAATGCCTCAAACATCCCGGGCTTTACTGTATAATAGTCTTTCCTTTCAAAAGCTCACTTGATTTCATCAAAACAGATTACCCTGGTTCACCCAAACCTGAAGAATCAGAATCTCCAGGGATGGACTCCTAGTGTCCATATTTAACAAGCTCCCCGGGGGATTCTGACACATATCAAAGTGGAGAATATTTCATAAAACATTTCCTGTTTCCAAAAGGATGAGAGTTACAATTTAAGGCTGAAGGAACAAGTGGTGGTCCAGGTGAACAGGTAAGTGGTTTGACTCCACTTAAAGCTCCTGAGAGAAAGCCACAACCACATTGGAAGAAGGAAGGTAGTTAAGCCAGGGACATGGAACCTTCTACAAGAGACCATAGCTGCTACAGGAAACCACAGAGTGAGCAGCAGCCCTGCTACGGCACAGGTGTTTATCACCTTTAGCAAAACCATGACGGGGCCGGGCATGGTGGCTGCCCCTGTAACCCCAGCACTTTGGGAGGCTGAGGAGGATGGATCACCTGAGGTCAGGAGTTTGAGACCAGCCTGGCCAACATGATGAAACTCTGTCTCTACTATAAATACAAAAATTAGCTGGGCATGGTGGCACGTGCCTGTAATCCTAGCTACTCAGAAAGTTGAGGCAGAAGTATTGCTTGAACCCAGGAGACGGAGGTTGCAATGAGTGGAGATTGTGCCACTGTACTCCAGCCTGGATGACACAGCGAGGCTCCATCTCAAAACAAAAACAAAAAACAGGAAGGTGTGAGCACTCCCTTACGCTTTTGTGCCCTTCTGAGCTTTCCACTTTAAGGTTGTGATATTCTGGTGCTTTGGCACTGTTAGTTTTCTTATCTTCCCTCCCATTTCAACTCATGTATCTTCTGATAATATATGTTCCTTTTATTTGCTTACCTACTTCGGTGGCCACCACTTGTACCCGATACGGACTTCCAGCTTCTCTGTCCAATGGAGCCACACTAAAGATCTCACCAGTCACGTGGTCAATTTTAAGCCAACCTCTTGTGTCTCCTCTCAGTGAATATCTTCATCAAACGAAAAGAGCAAAAGAAAGCCCACATTACTTTGCATGAAAATGTGAAGATAGTTCATGCATCAACTAAATATGTTTGTGCATCCTTTAAATATGTTGTAAGTACAAATGATAATGCTCGTAATGATAATCTCAGCATTATCAATTGTATATTATTTACAACATATTTAAAAGATCTGTTATATTATTAATGCTTTGTTTTCATTTAATCTTCAAAAGGAGGATTCGTTCATCCTTACAACGTGGTGTTTGTGCTTGCGTTAGGAAGGGTATAGTTCACAACCTCTGGGGAAAGTAGTTCAACTTTTATGGTGATCAAAGAATTCAAATTAAAGAAACCCAGAACTATCCTTTAAAACTTCTTAGCAAACCACCCATCTAGAAAATTTGAACACCCAGTGGTGGAAACATTGGGCGAGATGGGTTGATACTCATAGACCCTGGTAATGCAGTGAATTCCTCATCCAACAAACATCTATTGAGTGTGGAGAAGATCAGGCAGTGGACCAAGGGCAGAGGTTACAAAAAGGGGCACGTAGGCAAGTAGAAGAGGTAGATGAACAGATAATTCCAATAACATGTGGCAAATACAACAGAGGGGGGCCCTATGGAATCCAAGAGAAGTTTATAGGAATAAGCAAAGTCTTTCTAAGGAGCAGAGGTTAAAGGCAAGAAGAGGACACTTCAAACAAAAGGAATGTGTGAGCTAAAGTACCAAGGGCCAAGGAGCAGCATGGTGAGTGTGGGATCAGGCGTTTCAGCAGTGTTGGGCTATGTATACATGGGAAGCAGAAGATGGCAAAAGGCGAGCCAGATCATAAGAAGCAGTGGGCAGCCAGCCAATGATTTAAGCAGGAAGGTGACCTGGTCATATTTGTGTTTTCACCAGAGCTCACTGGTAGGCATGTGGAAGATGAAGTTGAGAGAGACAAGACTAGAACCACAGGAAAACCAATGGCACAGTCCTTTAAAAAGCAACACATCATAGTTATAAGCTTGTCCATATCTTTAGACCAAATAACTCCACTCCTGGAAATGCTACCTAAAAAAACCCAATTTAATCAAAGTTTAAAAAGAATTACATGCATGCATCTATTCAAAACATTTTCTATAATATACTGGAAGCAACTACATGTCCAAGAATAAGAGTGATTAAAAAATTATATGTTGATTTCCCACAATGTGGGAATTAAAAATTTACTAAATTTTTTTTAGTATATTCCATATGCCAAGCACTGTGTTAAGTTATATATATGGGTAATGAATATGAAACTCTTTATACTTGGAGTTTCATCCTGAAAGAGATGGGAATGCTTTGGAGGGTTTTGAAAGAGGAGTCAGATGATCTGATTTACTTTTTTAGAGGGTCACTGACTGCAATTCAGTGAGTAGATTCAGGGTGGGGCGAGGGATGGCAGGGGCAAGGGCGAATCCAAACAGACATGGTGGTACCTTGGAGTAGGCTGGAAGCAGGGAGAAGCATGTGGACTCTGAATATATTTCAAGAAAATAATCTATAATATTTGCTGAAGGACTGTATTCAGATCTGTTGGGTGCTAATAGATTTCAAGTTTGTGGAACTGGAGAAATAAATTACTCAGGCCAACACTGGAGTCATCTTTAATTCTTAACAGACTTATTACTCATGTCTGAGCTATTGATTATTCCTTACCCCTGAACTACTTTCTTCATTTGTCTTCTGGAATTGTAGCTTCCAGAACACCTCTTCTCAGTCTCCCATGCTAACCTCCTCTTTCTGACCTCAATGGTATATGTATCCTTTCCTTTTTCCATCACAAGAATTTTCTTACATGCCTTTATTTTTCTCACTTATAAACTAAACTTTTTATTCATGTCTTTGGCTGATGATTTTTTTTTTTTTTTTTTTTTTGAGACAGAGCCTTGCTCTCTCACCAGGCTGGAGTGCAGTGGTGCAATCTTGGCTCACTGCAACCTCCACCCCCTTCCCCAGGTTCAAGTGATTCTCCTGCCTCAGCCGCCCAAGTAGCTGGGACCACAGGTATGTGCCACCACACCCAGCTAATTTTTGTATTTTGAGTAGAGACAGGGTTTCACCATGTTGGCCAAGATTGTCTTGATCACTTGATCTCATGATCCACCCACCTTAGCCTCCCAAAGTGCTGGGATTACGGGCATGAGCCACCGTGCCCAGCTGATAGATAATTTTTATAGCCTTTTCATGAAGAAGGTAGGAGCTTTTGTTAAATAAATGGTTGTATACATTATAACGTTTTGTGTCTTCTCATAATTTTTGACTCAGTAGTATCTACACTAAACCACTGAGTATACCCCCTACTGTTCTTTCTGCTCTATAAAACTGCAGAAGTAGTTAGAGAGTGAAACTGTAGGTGGTAACTTTACTTCTCAATGATCAGATAACGGTCTCAGAGGTGAATCTGAGTGCTTGAAGGACAGCTCAATGGGAGACAAAACTCCCTCCAGATGTTCAGAGAAACTTAAGGAATTGTCTGTCATTCATAGCCATAGACAGGTGGTGTGATGTGTGATTTAAGTCATGCTGAAATATTTTTTATCCCATAGACAGGTGGTGTAATGTTGCATAATAGCAGCAAAAGATCTGAGTCCAAGTCTTATCTATGTACTTAACTGTATGAACTTAAAGGTTTTATAGATATTATACAGATATATACAAATGTATATATCTTAAATTCATCATCATTGTACTTTTTAAGGCAAATCTGTGTGGGTCCTATTGAACTGAACAAAAAGCAGGGGAATTGCTAAGATGGAAATATTTACACATTTTGTTTAACCACCTCAGCCAGAACACCAGCTTCTCCAGGGGTGCCCCAGACCAGCTCTTTGGAGCCAAGGAACCTATGTATCCTACATCCAGAAGATTCCCTCAGCCCTGTAAGGTGGCCTGGGCTATGGGCTTTGTGTCTCTGTCTAGAACTCCAATACGCCTTTGAGGCTGGAACCCTTTCCCAAGCCCCAGCCCAGATAACTGGCTCAGACACAGGTTCTGGTTCATTGAGTCTCTCAGAGGTGAACCTCACCTCCTGAACTGTCCAGCTCTCAACTGGGACCTGAAGCTCATGGGCTGGAATGGAATCTCATGCCACTTCCCCCTTGTCTGAGCCTGGATGCTTATTGATGAACCACCATCCCTTGGAATGTCCCCCAGGGGTTGACACCTTCCTAAACCAGGGCCAAGCTCATCATTGCTGAGCATGCTGTGCTCGTCAACCCTGGAGTCAGTACAGGCCAGCTCCTCCTCCTTCCCACTGGCTTCAGTGACCACGCAGCCAGGCCTGCCCCCCTTACCTTATGTCCAGACCTTCTGGATCCTTGGCAGTCACATTGCCCACTTTGGTGCCTATAGCTACATCCTCACTGACATTTGCTTGGAATACATGTTGGGGAAACTGTGGTGCTTCATTCACATCTGTCACAATTAGCGTGAACTTGGCAAAAGAACTTTCATTGTACGTCACACCAAACACTAGAGGCTCAGGATTTTCTGCTTTGAACACAATGTTGGAAACAGCTGCTGTTTCAAAATCAAGAGGCTGTGTAGGAAAAAAAGAGAAAATTATTTCTGGGGTGATTAGCTCCCTTAAAAGATTCATTCCCTATGCTTCTTAAACTCTCATTTATTCAACATATGATATTGGGGAAACTGGATATCCACATGCAAGAGAATGAAATCAGACTATCTCATACCATATATGAAAATCAACTCAAAATAGATTACAGACTAAAACATAAGACTAAAACTATAACACCACTAGAAGAAAACTTTCTGACATTGGTCTTGGCAATGATCTTTTGTTATTTTTTATTTTTGAGATGGAGCCTCACACTCTGTCACCCAGCCTTGAATGCAGTGGTGCGATCTTGGCTCACTGCAAGTTCTGTCTTCCAGGTTTGTTCAAGTAATTCTCCTGCCTCAGTATCCTGAGTAGCCGCCATGCCCAGTTAATTTTTGTATTTTTAGTAGAGGCGGGATTTCACCAGGTTGGCCAGGCTGGTCTCAAACTCCTGACCCCAAGCAATCTGCCAACCTCAGCCTCCCAAAGTGCTGGGACTACAGGCATGAACCACCATGCACAGCTGGAATCGAGGTTTATTTGGCTCCCAGTTCTAGAGGCTGGAAAGCCCAAGAACATGGCACCAGCACCTGCTGAGGACTTTGTGCTGTCCTGTGACAGAAGGGCAAGCCATTTCTTGAGATGGAGAGAGGAAACTCATCCTTTTATTTTTAGTAAAGATGGGGGTTTTGCCATGTTGGCCAGACTGTTCTCAAATTCCTGATGTCAAGTGATCTGCCCGCTGTAGCCTCCCAAAATGCTGGGATTATAGGCATGAGTCACTATGCCTAGCCTAGCAATGATCTTTCAGGTGTGACCCCCAAAGCACAGACTACTAAAGCAAAGATAAACAAATTGTATTACGTTAAACTAAGAAGCTTCCACATAGCAAAGGAAACAGTGAAGAGGCAACTTACATATTGGGAGAAAGTATTTGCAAATACACTTTTGAAAAAGGGTTAATAAAAAAAAAATTTAAGGAACTCAAACAACTCAGTAGCAAGAAAACCACCTGTTTAAAATGTAGACAAAGGACCTGAATAGTCATTTCTCAAAAGAAGACATACAAGTAGCCAACAGTTATATGCAAAAATGCTCATTACTCATCATCAGAGAGATGCAAATTAAAACCCCAATGAGCTATCACCTCACACCTGTTAGAATGACTATTATCAAAAAGACAAAAAATAAACATTGGCGAGGATGTGGAGAAAAGGGAATCCTGTATGCTCTTGGTGAGAATGTAAATTACAACAGCCACTGTGGAAAACAGGATGAAAGAACCTCAAACAATTAAAAATAGAACTACCATATGATCCAGCAATCCCACTACTGGGTATATAAGGTCAGTATGTCAAAGAGAAATCCTCACTCCTATGTTCACTGCAGCATTATTCATAATAGCCAAGACATGGGATCAGCCTAAATGCCCAATAACAAATGGATCAACAAAATGTGAGATATATATACACACACACACACACACACAATGAAATACTATTCAGCTTTAAAAATGAAAGAAGTTCTGTCATTTGTGATAACATGGATAAATCTGGAGGATATTATGGCAAGCAAAATAAGCCAGGCATGAAAAGACAAATACCACATGTTCTCACTTGTAAGTAGAATCTAAAGTGTTGAACTTAGAGAGTAGAATGGTGATTACCAGGAGCTGGGGTGTGAGGAGATTGGGGAGTGCTAGTAAAAGCTTGCAAAATTTCAGTTAGGAGGAATAAGTTTAAAAGATCTATTGTACAATGTGGTAACTATAGTTAACAATATGGTGTATACTTTAAAATCACTGAGAGAGTAGATCATAAGTATTTTCATCACAAAAATGATAAGTATGTGAGGTAATGCAGATGCTAGTTAGCTCTAATTAGCCATTCCACAATGTATGCATATTTCAAAACATGTTGTACTCCTATACAATTTTTATTTGTCAATTATAAACAAGACAGACTTTCATAGAAGCGGTTCTCAATCCAGTGTCAGCAAAAGCCTTCTCAGAATGATTACAGAGCCATGAAAAAGTATTTTTCTGCAGAACTTATCAGAGCTTGCACTATGCTAATGTGTCTTAGAAGAGGAATTAGAACATGGAATGCCTCAAATTTATTTAGCTGTGGGATACTTCATTTATTCAATAGGAATTTATTGATGCTCCCAAGACAGTTCTCAGGTGACAGCTTGGGAAATGCTTACATACAGACTTCTGTTTTTTATGGGAAATAACTTTCCAGGGGCCTCAAAACTCAAGCCCCCAAATCAAAGATTTTAAACCCATAGAGGATGGGAGATGGAAATGGAGATGACAGATGATCTGCTGAAGAAATGCCAGATGGAACCAGGAATGAACATCAAGGAACCAATTTTGGGTTCATATGAGGCAGAACTGAACAGTTAGGGCTACCCAAGAGTACTCCTCCTAGCTCTTCAGGAGTGGGCTCACTGCTGTCCTCTCCATGTCTGCTTCCTCATCCCTAAATTCAATCCTCAAACTGACAAGCTGCACATCCTCTGCAGTCTCATAGCACCTAACAGATCTAACTGTTGGTCTGTTTTAGATCTTCACTGACCCTAAGCTCCGTGAGAGGAAGAACCGCGTCATACTCATCTTTGCTTCTCATCTCTTCCCCAGCATGCAGTGCCCATAGCGGACCGGTCAGGAATACAAAGACCAGAAAGGCCTGGTCCTTGAGGGCCTCCATGAAGAGGAGATTCTGGAGAACATCCTCACCCTCCAGAACCCTCTTCCCCCATGCATGCACCAACACACACCATTGTGACTCACACTCCAGTTCATAAGTGCTGTGAGACAATTTTTCACGTGGAAGGGTGGGAACCGTGTGTAAAGACTCAGTTCATTTGAGATAGAAGAAGCAATTGAAATTTGTTCAAATATGTAAGATATAAAATCATGTCAGCCAGCTAAGTGTGACAAAAGAGGTTGTTCATGGTGATAAGCACCCACTCTGTCTGCAGGGCTTGGCCTTCGACAACCTCATGATCACTGCACATAGTCCATGGTTCAATTAGGGCTTCTCCCCTGGAGCAGGGGTCAGGGGAGCAAGCTGAAGTTTCTGACTCACAGGGACCCACTCCCTGTCCCAGGAGATGACAGCAGAACTGTCCAGTTGAGATAAAAGCCTAGTAGACCAAGCAGGAAGGCAGCAGCCCCCAGAATGAGCTTGTGATGGGGACAAAGGACACAGCTCTCTGTTCCTAGATAGTCCAGCTGAGTACAGGCCCCGGCAGGCAGCACAGCTGTCCATATGCTCAAGCAGAGCATGTGCATCCATCCTCACCACCAAGCAGGACCTAAGCACCCTCCTTGGCTTTTCCCCATCCCATCACTGTGGCCCCAGAGACAAGGGTTTAAAGAAAGGAGACAGTGTATGTGTGCAAATGAGAAGCAGCCTGTGTTACCAGAATAGAACGTGTGAGGCTGAGCGTGGAAAGAGAAGACTGTATGGTAAGCTGAGGAGTTGGAACTTCACCCTTGACTACCAACGTCAGATCTGTGTTTTAGAAAGAACTCCAGGAGCAGCTGCGTGAGGGATGGATTTGAGGTGATCCACACTGGGGTGGGAGACCAGCCAGGAGGCAATGTCAGTGCTCCCTAAACACAGGTTGGAAGAATGAAAGAAAAGCAGCAGGCTGCCATTGAGAATTCTGTCCATGTAACTTCCACACCTGGAAAAACACCAAACAAAATCTGGAGAAATCATTAGAAATGGAAGATGCTAAACTAGCAAATGGTGATCAACAGAGCTGAACCAAGAACAAGCCTTGTCTGGCCACATGCATTATGTTTCATGACATGGGGATATGACTGCAAAGCCAAGGCAACTCAGTCCCATCTAGCAAGATGTATTCAAGTTAGCTGAAAAAACCTACTCATACCACGATTCCTTTTGTGCACACAACTGCCTGAAAGGCCAAACCTAGTGATTCAGATTCAACCTGGAAACAAAGAAAGTGCTGAAGGAGAGGGCTTGAGACTGGGATATTTACCATTTTCACCAGGGATCACTGATGAGATCAAAGTGCGCACATGAGTTTTCCAGATGACATTTGGGCCAGTTAAAAATAGCTAGTGAACTGAGAATTCAAAAGAATCAGTCATAGTGGAGAAGTGACAAAATTTGCAAGTTTAAAAAAAAATGGCAGAACCCTGAATTTCAAGAAGGAGGATCCCAGGAGAGTTGTTGTTGAGCCAGGCAGGGCTCAAAGAAATAGCTTTCCTGCTCAGGACACACGTTTGGTCCTGAGAGCATGATAACCAACCACATGAGAGGCTGGAGTTTGGGCAGCAGTGAATACAGAGCAGGGAGCATTTCTGACACTTGTATAATCTGAAGCGTCACTTTCGGCACTTGCCAAAATTAGTCATTTCCAGGCTTTCCCCTTGAGAGGCTAAGGCCGCAGTCCTCAGTATGCACCATTTGACTCTTGAATTAGGCAAGTTTGGTCCCTGTAGGCAACAGGGAAAAGCATACCTGTCCACAGGTAGAATCCTGGCTCTGACTAATTAGAATCAAGTGATGCCACATGTTTATTAAGTTTGCAACCTGCTGGATGCTGTGTTAGGAACTACATATATATTTTTGCATTTAATTCTTCAACACCCTTACTAGAAAGGTGCTACCATTTTACCCATTTTTACAAATTGGAAAACTGGGACCTGAGAAGGTACATCATTTGCTCAAGGCCACAAGCTGGTAAGTGGCAACTCCAGGCCTCCCAGAAATTATTTCATGAGAGGAGCTGGAGGCCTGGAGTCAAGTTGCCAGCTCTGCCATCACCAGAAGGCCTGACTGTACCTTGCTGTGGGCCTGAATCTCTGCCTCCCTTAGAGTCAGTGGGAGAGGCAAAAGAGAGTTTAATGGAAATGGACTACAGTTGCCATATATGAGACCCTCAGTGAATTTTACCTTGATTAGCACATCTGTAATTCAGATGAACTGTAAGAGATATAATTGTATTTAACAAACTTAGTTTAAACTTTTAAAAATTATTAACACAGTGGTTCTGAACAGTGGCAGTCCCTTTATGGCTTAATAGGCAAGGATTTAGAAGACAAAGGCGTACATAAAAACCATATTATACAGTCTATAATTAATTTAAAACACTTTAATAACAAATAGTATGAATACATACATTTGTTATGCTTTTATTCTATATCCTAGGGGGGGAATTGGCTAACATTTGGAGTATCCTAATCAAGAATCCACAGCCCAGGGCTGACTGTTGCTTAGCATCTGAGAGAACTTAATCAGAGAGCTATATCCCAGATATATGATAGTCCTTCAGCCAACACTATCTCAATCAGAACTAAATTTGTTAATTAGCAAAGTGATCTCACAAATAAATGTTCTTGGTGACATGAGTGGTGTCTGAGATATGCACTTTGGGCCATGCGCAGTGGCTCATACTTGTAATCCCAGCACCACGGGAGGCTGAGGTGCAGGTGGATCATTTGAGCCCAGGAGTTCAAGACCAGCCTGAGCAACATAAGGAGACCCCATCTCTACAAAAATAAAAAATTAGCTGGGTGTGGTGGCACACGCCTATGGCCCCAGCTACTCAGGAGGCTGAGGTGGGAGGATTGCTCAAGCCCAGGACGTTGAGGCTGCAGTGAGCTATGATTGTGGCACTGTACCTGTTTAAAAAAAAAAAAAGTGCTGTTTGGTTAAAAGTAAAGTGTATCCCTTAGTCATTGTGAACAGGAGTGTAAACATCTGGCCTGACCAGCAGATTGTACCCTTCAGGGTTCCAGGGCTCAGTTCTGTTCTGCCAGTTCTCACTCACCCCTGAATGGTTGAACAAATCCACTGGCTTAAGGAATTGCTATCACAGTGCCCAAGGGACAGAGAGCTGAGATGTCACAGGTCTAAAGCACAGGTTGGATGATCACTTATGTGTCTGCTTGTTAATAATTGTATATGGGACAGAATTCATTTATTCATTAAGTCAAGCAATATTTATTTAACCTGTATGCCAAGAGACATTCTAGACACTTGAAATAGAGCCACATACAAAATAAGGATGTGACAAAGTTTGGTCAGAGGCCTACTCTACTGTAGCATACCTCTCATGTCAGGTTGTGAGGGAGGATACTTACACCTCTCACCCACCGCTAATCATTGAGGTAGGTGCCAACATCTCCCTAAAAGAGCCCGTTAACCACAAATGGCCAAGTTAAACCATTGTTTAAAAAAAGATGACATGTGGGCCTTGGTCATACTGGGATAGATAGGCCTCTATCTTCCTTTAGATTCCTAGTTTAAACTTTTAAAAATTATTCACACAGTGGTTCTGAACACTCTGGTCCTGCAAAAGGGTAGAAGAAAGCTGCCCCCCATCACCTGCAAAAGAACACATCAACCCACTGCAAGCTCTGACAACTGCCCTTTCTTTTATCCTTCTTCTCTCCATGTAGACCACTATGAGCACAATGGGAGGCTGTCACGGTGCCGTTTCCAAATGTCAGACTCACACACAAGGCCGAGGCTTTGAGCTGGTCCACAGAAACCTCTGCTGAAATGCAGCAGGGCCCTTGGTTCGAGCTGGAATGTCTGATAACAATGGGATCCGAATTTCAAGACTCTGTCCGAGGGCTTGCTTCAGCACTCATGCTTTTTTCTCTGTGCTTCTGTCCATTTTCTGTGAAATTATTCTATTCTGTCTTCATTGTTAGGCTCTACTTTCGGTTTTCTTCTATCCTGTCTCAAACCTGTACTCCAGAGCTTTCTTTTGCAGCTTCTAGCACACTGCGCTGAAAACCTTAAACAATTAGCTGCCCTTGCAGATTCTCTCTGACCCTTTTTAACAGCGAGGTTTTACTCTTTCCCCTAGGAAAGTATCTTAACTGTAAGTACATTGGATGGCATTGAGTGCTGCTTCCAATTGAGTCATCTGGTAAACCCATGACGTGCTCTTACACAGATGGGGCAGCCATAGAGAAGAGTCAAGATTCAGGTGTACGTGGCAGGGGACAGGAGTAGACTGAGGAAGGGTTAGGAGGATCCTGTACAAAGAGACAGGAACCAAGGTAATTAAGGCTTTGACTCCAGATTACCCAGTCCTTACAGAGGGAGTGACAGAACAAGTCTAGCAATACAGTAAAAGATGAAAGTAAAGCAGCAGGGAGGGCATTGAAAAGAAACTTGTCTGTTAAACCTTGAAAGGAGACCCAGCAGTTTCATTATTCAAGAGGTATCTCTGCCTGGCACATTACAATAAAGCATTTACAGCGGGCTCATCCAACCCAACACCTCACATTTGCAAAGGGGGATGTGAAAGCGAGGCCCCCAGTGCCATTCCTGACCCCTTGCAGGGCTGGCAGATTTAGCAAATAAAAACATAGAACACCTAGTTAGATTTGAAGTTCAGATAAATAACAAACAACTTTTTAGTATACGTGTGTCCCAAATATTGCATGGAACAGACTTACACTAAATTCTATTAAATAAATGGGCTATTTACCTTTTTAATTATGACATATCCGGTGTTGGTGTGGGGATCCGTGTCAACCCCTAGGCGTCCCTCACTGTCTCCCACTGTGATATGATACAGAATTTTAGAACTCCCAGTAAATGGCTCATCAGCATCCGTGGCCTGGATGGCTAAGATGGTGGACCCAACCTTTGTATCTTCAGTGAGAGTCAGGTTTCCATACTATGGAGAAAATGGGAGAAGGAAACAATGAGAAGGTTTGTTGTCATCAAAGCCAAAGGACAAACTTATCTCTCTGGTTTCAGAATAAACATAAGCCATAGTTTGCATCAGTCTTCATGGGGCATGTTTCTTCCTATTGATGAACATGTTGCAGTTGATTTTAACAGCTCATACTCATGAGCTGATATCTATTGTACCAAAGAACACAATATCTCAGAGAGCTACTGGTTGGATTCTAAAACAAATTCCCCCTCCCATATCTAATTTGTTTAAAAACTTAATTAATGTAGTAGTAATGATATAAATAAATAGCCACCATGTATGGAGTATCTATCATGTGGTAGGTACTTTATTTACATTATTTAATTAATTCTGGAATCAACAAAGGGATAGAGGTTGATTAAAAGCTTGAACTTTAACAGCCTGAATATGAATCGTAGGCTTGCTTCTTATTCGTTGGGTGGCTTGAAGCAAGTTACTTCAATTTTTTTTTTTTTTTTTTTTTTTTGAGACAGAGTCTCGCTTTGTCACCAGGCGCCAGGCTGGAGTGCAGTGGTGTGATCTTAGCTCACTGCAACCCCCACCTCCCAGGTTCAAGCAATTCTACTGCCCCAGCCTCCCTAGTAGCTGGGACTATAGATGTGCATCACCACACCCAGCTAATTTTTATATTTTAGTAGAGACAGGGTTTCACTATGTTGGCCAGGATGGTCTCGATCTCTTGACCTCATGATCCGCCCGCCTCTGCCTCCCAAAGTGCTGGGATTATAGGCATGAGCCACTGCGCTCGGCGTTATGTCACTTCTTTAAGTGTCAGTTTTATCATCTGTCCAATGTAGACAACGATAATAGAACCTACTTCATGTTTGCTGTGGGCATTAAGGGAGACAATACATGTAAAGCTTCTAAATGCCTGGCACATAGCAAGTGCTCAATAAGGAAAAGCAACAAAACACCCTATGCAGTAGTTGTGTTACCATCTCCATTTATGAGGAGCAAAGGCTTGGGGAAGTTAAACCCACTGAGGGTCACACAGCTAGTGGGTCACAAGATTGGGATTCAAAGCCATGTTTGTGCAACTCCAAAGCCTGTGCTCTTGAACACTGGCCTAGACCATCTCCCACTCTGCTAAAAATCCTCTAGATCATCTCTCTTGGCCTCATGATCCTAAAGAGGGTTATAAGTAGGGTTCAGGAGAGAGGATCACAGCATTGAAAGAAGTAGGTTCACTCTGTAGCTAGATAAGTATTTCAGCTGTGAGACACCAAGTACAGGATTCTTACCCTCAATCTAAAAAACACTGTCTCAATGAAAGGCAGGAGGTCATAAAGTTAGGAAAGAATCAAATGCCCAAGAGAATGGAGGCTGAGAAGACATGAGTTCTTTATTTGATGCCTGCTGAACCTCAGTGCCTGTTATACAAAACATGTCCACTCACACCCCTTCCCACCCCCATCCCCCTCATAAATCAATTCCCTTCTTTGTCACAGCCTTGTCCCTGTTTTGATTTATGAACATCATCAAAAGGCTCTGGGCTGCCTCATAACTGACTTTAAGCATGATGTAACAGTCTAGTCAAATGGGCTTCTTGCTCCTTCAAAATAAATAAGTGGGGACTTCCCTCCTAAGGGAAACAATGATAAAGTTATCACCAAGTCTGAATTCCATATCAATGACAAGAAAATAGTAATTTGTATTTTTCTTGAGGTTCTCAACTGATTTTTTACTTTCTGTCCAATTCTAATTCTCTCAAATGTCTTGGGCACATTTTTCTTTGGCTTACATCAGAGATTCATTTTTTTCTCCTCCCTTTCTCTTACCCAATTATTACAAATTAAATTGCCAATATTCCAAATATTAAATTTTTGACCAAAAATGCTTGAGACCTAGAAGTAATCTATTTATTGTCCTAATACACAAAATGTATAATGACAACCTGCAAGCAGCCATTCAACTTTTTTCAATTTGACAAAGATTGTGGTTGTTGTTTTTAAGCAGCCCTTGGAATAAATGAGCTGTTGGCAGGAGTTTATAAACAGATGTTCCCAGACACCTATAACAGTACATGTTGGTGTTCCCCAAAGAATTCCACTGAAGATGGCATCTGGGTTATTGGTGAACTGACCAAGGTTACCCATTAAGCCTGGCATTTTTCCTAACTACTGTCTGTGTCTTTAACCCAGAAGAAGGGGTCAAGTAATATGAACAAAGTAAAGAAAAAACAATGACAACTACTCACATCTGATTTTTCAAAGATGGGGATCTGATCATTGATGTCAATAACATTGATTTGCACAGAACAAAGGGTCTTGAAATCTGAAAATCAAAGTCATAGGTCATAGAAATTTTCACTGAAAATCATACATTAAAATCAGAAATCCACAAGAAAATACTTGGCAAGTGAAGTAGCCACAATTTTGCAATTGACATGCAATTTATGCAGAGAGTGGGTTATCTGCTTCCCACCTGTACCCCAAGTGGGCTCACCAAGTGTGGGGCAGGGTGGCTAAAGATAGATCTAAGAGAGATTTTTCTGGGTTTTTCATTGCTGTCCACCTGCCGTCTTCCTAAGTAAGCTTAGGTAAGGTTTGTTCCTGAGCAGGATGGCTTCTTTTTTGAAGCAGTCTTTTTCTGACTAATGAAACTTATGTAATCTTCAAAGTCCAGAGCAAAACTCTCCTTCCAGAAAGCTTCTCTGAGCATCCCAGTTGCTGTCTCTCCTTCTCTGAACACATCCATCCTACATCTGCTCTGCCTTCTATGGTGGGGAGGTTCAGGGCCTGCTCTCTCCTCTCCAAGTACGGGAGGAATCAGTACAATTGGCCTCTTCACAAGTCTGGCTGCCCAGCCTGCAGGAGGCAAGGTGGGGACAGAGGTAGCTCCTGGAACCCTGGAGAAATCACCCAGGCTTTCAGGGCTGGGTTTCACAATTCCAAGACCTAGGCAGATAGCAGCTTCAGCCAGCTTCCAAATGTGTGTGGAGTGCAGGTGGGGACAGGATGCCCGGGGGAGAGAGAACGAGAAACAAAATGACAGGTTCTTTGTTGGCTTGCTATTGGTCGAACCGAGGTGCACTGCACTGTAGTGATGGTTAAGACTCTGAGCTTGGAATTCACTGTTTGGACTTTGGCTCTGTCACTTAGCATATATGTGACAGATAAACAGTTTATCTATAAAATGTGAATAATAACAGAACTGAGGTTTTCATCATAATACAATTGTTAGCGGCCTCTATATACCAGCAACTGTGTGGCTTTACCTGAGTTATTCATTCATCTTCATGATAACTTCATGATGTAGGTGCTATTGTCATTCCCATTTATTTAACAGATGAGGAAGCCAGGCAATAGAGAAGTTCAGGTAACCTTACCAGGATCACACAACTAACAAGTGGTGGAGCCAGGATTCAAACCCAGAGGCTCCCTTTGCCCTTCAGCCACTGTCCATTCCTCTGTCTGCTCCATAGCCCAAGGGGCTGACCTTGTGAACTGCATCAAAGCACCTCCTCACCCTGAGGGTAACAGTTGGGTTCTGCCAATGGGAGGCCTGGCAAGAGACTGGAGGGAAGACAGGAGGAGCGTGGCTGGGAGTGTCATGTCCCCGTGCCAACAGCCCTCTTCTAGTGACAGGCACAGGCCTTGCTCTTTTGGGGGATGTTCCCTTCCCTGGCTCCTTCACCTTTTAGGGCAGAAAATGCTGCTCACTGTGCTTCCCACCTCCTGTTGGTTTCCTTTAACCCTGCCCACAACCTTTGCAAATAATTCCTTCTTTAAACTCTTTGAGGGGAGCCTCCATTTCCTGCTGGGATCCTGACTAATATTCCCAGGTAATTTAACTCTAGAGCTGGTGCTCAATGTACTGGACATGATCCCAGGGGCAGAATCTATTAACAACCAATTACAAGCAAGTGGATATTGATTAAAGTTCAAGCTGGTTCTCAGAACCTTTGTAGACAACTTGAGTGGCTGAAGACGGGAGTGGTGCCAGACCCAGAACCACCTGGCTCACCGCTCTGCACATATCTCGTTTAGCCAGCAGTGGGCCTTCTGGATAAATGGCCCTTGATGGTTTTATGCAAAACTGTGTTTCATAGCCTAGTCTCTAATTTTCTGTAGTGCACAGAATGTTTAGTTATATCAACATACACACATATTTGAATATATTTTATAATCTGGTCCATAATTTCCATAGATGTATTCATGCAAATAAACAATTTGTAATCTGATTTCCACTTTAAACTCTATCTTCAAATTTCTGCAGGTCCCTATGCATTTCCACATGGATCCCCACTCTCCCATAAGCCCTACATGATTTTGTAACTTATATTCATCCTTCAAAGCCCAGCTCGGAGACACCTCTTCCAGAAAGCTGTACCTGTTCTCTCCCTCCATTGAGTCACATTTCCTTCATGGGCTACCTTGTACACTTCCTTGCAATTTAGTGACTCACATGTCCATCTCCTCTACCAGAATGAGTGCTCCCTCAGGACAGAGTCATCTATGTCTCCCCAGTACCCTGCATGGTGCCTCAGATAGGTAAATGCTGAATAGCTGCTGAAGGAATGGACTGCTAATGTGAAATTGCTAGCTCGTCGTGGATAGGGAAGATTTATTATACTTACATCTGTTTTATCTCATCATAATGCAAATATTAGGGCCTTAATATTTGTCAGATTACTGGGTTTCTAACATTCTGTGTTGGAGACCTACTAAACCTGCGTTCTGCTTAGTATCTCAATATCCCAGTAAAGGAGAGAAATGTGAAGCACAGTGTGAAACATTTCTTGTTTGTTCTCCATACCTGTGCCTGCCAGCAGAACAATTACTGAATTATATAGTAATTGAAGATTCAGTGCGAGTCAACTCAAAGGACCATCTAGGAGTCTTGAGTGCCCTTGAAATGAGTCTGTCTTTGAATCCAGGTATTTTGTGTGTCTGTGCACATTTGTTTAACAATGTGTGCAATTGATTGAGAATGCCCAGTTTTCATCAGATTCTCAAAGGCTCTTGTGACCCAATGGAGATTAAGAACCACTTGCTCTGCAATTGTGTAAGGAGTACAGGGAAGAATGTCTCCTGATGGTGTCAAATGGCCAAATAGAAGCTGAAAGGATAAGACAGAATTTCCTGACAGATGCACTTCTCCACTTTCATACAGTAGAGCCCTTTCAGTCTGAACGCAAGAATTAGGACATACAATTAGTTTTCCAATTTGTGGTCTGCAGAATGTGCCTGGCAGGTGTTCATTGATGACAATCCACTGCTGTGCTCTGAAATCCACTACCACATTGGCACTGAAACCTCCTTTCTCTGGGCTGTCCACAGCCAGTCACTGAGAAAAGCAGCAATGGTAAGGCTCCTCAGGCTCCTTCTCAAAGACAGTGAACTCCTTTGACAGCCAACTTTAGTCTCCCCAACAGCTGTGCGTAGCTTTCCTCAGACTGTTCTAATCTAGGACATTCCCACCAGCCTTCCTTCCCCATCTCCCTTCACTCAGGGTCAAGCACCCTTTTTTGTGCCCTCCCCCAATAAAATCCTTGCACATTTAATCTCCTTTTGGCATCTGCTTCTCATAGGACCCAGACTGACACGACAGTGGTACCTGAGCTGCAGCTCTGGCCTTTACAATGTTCAGCAGCTCTATGCTATGTGTGTTTCACAAAGGAAGCAAAGAATGTATAAATGGCATCATTCTATAACATCCCAGACTTCAGAGCAGGCAAATAAGTCATAGCTAGAAGGAAAATAATGATTCGTACCCAAGACAGCAGATGTGATACTAACCTTTGTCAGACACTGCTACCGTTAAGTTATACTGAGGAGTATCTTGCTTCTTCAAGGACTGTTTAGCTAACTGCAACATTCCAGAAAAGTTTTCAATTAGGAAGAGTCCGTCCATGGGAAGTTTGGGAGTTTGCTCAACAATACGATAGGCTAAAAAACTGTTGGCAGTATTTTCTTCATCCCTGTCATGTGCAGTAAGGGTCCCGATACTGCTACCTATGAGGAAGAAAAGGAGGAAGTCCAACCATTATAGGCTCCATGTAATCTGTTAAAATAGTTTCACTGGATAAGCACATTCCTAGAAAACACCATGAATAACTTTGGATAGCAGACAAACATTCTTAGATTTATTTTGGTTCTATCCTATCATGTTGTAGGAAATAAGAATAAATAAAAGGTTCCTCTTCAAAGCTTTCCTTCTAATTCATTACGAATAACAGTTTCTTCAAAGATTAATTTACTTTAAAGCTTTTGCTAATAATCTTAAAGTAGCTGTTAGTCATAATAAATAAGTGTATCCTGTGTTCTTAGTTCTTCACTTTAACCTAGATATTTGCCCTAACATGCCTGGACAAGCCCAGGGAAGTCTTAGGTCATAGCTTATTCCCCTTCCTAATTTGGAAATGTTACCGCTTCTGTAAGCATTTCTCAAGTTACCTCCTCTTTTTCTTTGTTCTCCTCTGCCTTTACCTCTTTAGAAAATTTCCAGGTTTTTAGCCAATCTAGTATAGAATGTGAGGTCCCATTCCAACCAATGGAAACTGGACACAGCAGTAGGGCAATTACGTCAGTTTATGAAAGTTATAAATGTCCCTGTCTCCTCTGTTCAGGTGTGCTCTCATGGCAAGGCTGTCAATGAGTTGCATCCTTCCTGCAGGGTAGGGTAGCCTTGATGAGTGATCCGTTGTCTTGGTGTGGATTTTTCCCAATGTTATAAACCTGTTTCCAACAATGTAATGGGTTGAATAATGTATTAGTTAGCCAGGGCTGTCACTAAGCATCATGGATCAAACAACAGAAACTTATTTTCTCATAGTTCTGAAGCCCAGAAGTCTGTGATCAAGGTGTTGCCAGGGTTGGTTTCTTCTGGGGCCCTTCTCCTTATCTTGTGGGTGGCTGTCTTTTCCTCCCAGTGCCTTCATAGCACCTTCCTTCTGAACCTCCCTATGTCCACGATTCCTTTTTTTTTTTTTTTTTTTTCTTATAAATGATGACATCAGTACTAGTTCTGGTTTTCTGATGCCCAGCACATTTCCTCTTATAAGGAAACCAGTCATATTGGATTAGGACCCACTGTAAGGGCATTTTACCTTAATTACCTCTTTAAAAACCTTATCTCCAAATACAGTCACATTCTGAGGTACTAGGGGTTAGAACTTCACCATATGAATCTGGGGGAGGGAGAGGACAATGCAGTTTGGAACAGAGGGTTACTATCTCAACATATAATTTAGGGGGCAGGGGGGACACATTCAGCCTGTAACACCTAGTGCTCCCTCCCAAAACTTCATGTCTACCAGAACCTGAGCATGGGACTTATTTGCAAATAGGGTCTTCCCGGATGTCACTAGTCAAGGATCTGGAGATAAAATAATCCTGGATTTAGAGGCAGTCCTAAATCCAGTGACAGGTGCACCTGTAAGAAGGGAAATGCACAGAGATGCACACAGAGCGGGAAGTGATATGGAGGAGGAAGCCAGAAGTTGGATTTATGCTACCCTAAGTAGCCAGGGAACACCAGATGCCAACAGAAGCCAGAAGAGGCAAGTAAAGATTCCCCCCTTGAGACTCTGGAGAGAACGTGGCCCTGCTAGCACCTTGATTTAAAACTTCCAGCCTCTAGGACTAGGAGAGAACGGATTTCTGTGGTTTGAAGCCACCGAGTTGGTGGTGATTTGTTGCTGCAGCCCTAGGACACTAATACACATGGCAAAATCACTAAACAAAGAGAATCCAACACTAGGTTTCTTCTAAGCAACTTCATGGAACAATTGCAGAGACTGACTCTACCCCAAAGACAGCACAGGGCAGAGACCAGGTAGGATCCTCTCTGCTATGCTGTAGTTTGCGGTCCTAAGTATTTTATTCAGTCCAGGGAGTTCTACAAGCCAATGGCTATGACTTGGTCCTGTACCCAGCTCTGGGTGAGTTCTGCCAGGTTCCAGATCATTCTACTCTGGGAGGTGGGAATTGTGGGTCTCTTTATATGCTGCAAGAATCCCAATAAGGAGCTCAAACTTGAATTCATCCCATTCTTGGAGTTACACCCCACCCCCCATCCACTGACACAGTTTACATCCACTGACACATATGGAAATTTTGAGGTTTTTTGGTTTTGGGTTGGGGGAGGAAAAAGAAAGTACCTATGTTATGTCTACAGTGGAGCTAGACACATGCAGATATGTCTCACAGGCTGCACGCAGGGACCATGAAAAGGAACAGGACAGAAGAGAATATGTATCTAGTGCATATGGCATGCATATGCCCTTGCAAGAAAAGCATCTGTGTGCTGGGATGAAAGAGCGTCTTACTCAATTCTGTGGTCTTTTGGTGTCTCAGCAGCCCTGCTGTGGCCCTATTCCCTTAGCAGGTGAGCAAGAAACTGTTAGATATAGTGAACCCCAAGTTTTTCTTCAAAGAATTAGTATGTCAGCATGTTCAGCTCTTATTCTTTAATTCTCCATTTTAAAGTTTAACTTCTTTGTAATTTCAGTAAACAAGCTTTTCCACCAGTTCTAATCAGTAGTTCACATCTGTTCCCCCGGTCACCTGCTTTGATCCCTGGTTACCTGCTCTGACCTGCCTGTAACCATCCTTTCTGCCAAACTACCCACCCCACCACTCTGGCTCATATCACTGCTCCCTTTAAAATAGCCAATTGGAATTAGACTAGACTGTGTGTTCTAACCCTAGCCAGTAGGGGAACAACACAGCAGTAGGGGTAACCTCGGTCAGAAATAAGTACCCCTTCCCCTCCCTTGTCCAGGTGTGTGCTCGCCATTGCTCCATCTGTGAGCCGCACCCTTCTATAGAAGTAAATTGCCTTGCTGAGGAAATTTATATTCGAGTGCTACTTCTTTTGTGGCACGGAAAATTTTACATATAACAAAACTGAGGACACTGTCTTCCTCTCACTCCACAGGAAACTTCCATGCTGCTAGAGGCACCAGGAGGACTGCAGACATCAGAGGACACCCCTCACTGGGAGCAGAGGACCTTGTGGATCAGTTGGAAGTGAAAGGAGAATCATGTCTCTGAGTGACTGAGGCCAGGAACAGGTGGCAGCTCAAACTGATACAGGAGTATACACAGCATCTCTTGGAAATATGCAGAAATATTCATGGAGGTGAGGCTTTTATGAGAGTCTAAATTTTCCATACAAACATATAAGTCTTGGGGACAAGTGGGATTCAAGTATAAATGTTAGTGTTGCTATCACTTGGGGACATGAGTTCCACAAGATACCAAACAGGAGAATGTAAATACACTGGGGAATGAAAAAAAATAAATATATATATATATGTGTGTGTGTGTGTGTGTGTGTGTGTGTGTGTGTGTGTGTGTATATATATACACACAGACATATATATACATATAAATGGGGTCCTGCTTTGTCACCCAGGCTGGAGTGCAGTGGCATGATTTCAGCTCACTGCAAACTCCACCTCCCAGGTCCAAGCGATTCTCATGCCTAAGCCTCCCAAGTAGCTGGGATTACAGGCATGCAGCACCGTACCTGGCTAATTTTTCTGTGTTTTTTGTTTTGTTTTGTTTTTGTTTTTTGTTTTTAGGAGAGACAGGGTTGGCCAGGCTGGACTTGAACTCCTGGCCTCAAATGATCTGCCCATCTTGGCCTCCCAAAGTGCTGAGTATGATTATAGGCATGCACCTGGCCTAACTCAGTATTTTATCAAGGTTTTATTTGTTAATATTTTCACCTACTCATGTCCTATCAGCTCAGCTAGACAGTAAGTCCCCACGGGGAAGGAGCATTGCCTTGTACCTCTCTCAGGCTACACATATAGAATATGCTCCATTGATTTATAAGAATTCCTGGTCCACTAAAGACTCTGAAACATTTTTACAAAATCAACTCTCACCTTTAGAGAGGCAAATAGCATGCTGAGCCCCTTCAAAATTTATTCTACCCACAATGACATCTTCAGTCTCAGAAAACCAGCACTATCCTCTTCCCAAATGAGGTAGGTGCCTCTAAAAGGGATCCTAGCAATCCCCATATCTCCCGATATTTGTGATTTTTCATAACCCCATCCTTTTGAGTGCAGGCTGGGCCTAGCTACTTGTTTCTAATGGCAAAAGTGATGGGATCACTTCCAAGATTAGGTCATAGAAAGACTAACTTCCATCTCGCCTGTCCTTTCCTGCTCTGCCGTGCTTCTCTCTCCGCATTCCCTTTCTCTCTCAGAACTCTCACTCTGAATTAGAGGTACCCAGCTAAACTGCACCCAGATTCCTGACTCACAGAAACTGTGACATAATACATGTTTGTTGTCTTAAGCTGCCAAGCTTTAGGGCAATTTGTTTTGCAGAAATAAGTAACAAATGCACTAAATGTTTGACCCAATGTAAAAGAGGCTAGAGGTGTCATGTCAAGGTCAAGAAAGGTTGTCAAAGACTTTCCACCTTCATTCAGTGTCACAGACCATCCCAGATTTCCCAAAAGTGTGATAGCACATGTGTTTGCTGGCTATTGTGACACATTCTATTGCTGCACAGTTGACACTGTGAGAAGATTCTTCCTTATAATGAACTGAAATCCTTCAAGCTGACATTAACTCTTCCTGTTGTGGCAAGAGTTGGAATAAATGAAAGAGGAAATACAGTGACACAGAACACACTGACGATAGGCAGCCCACAGGACACCTGACAGCAAGAAGAGAAATAATGAGCAGTGTGAGGAAGCCGCTTCAGCAGCACCCACCAAGCCTCTAGGGAGGCACCCACTCTGCCAGAGGTGTGTCTGGTGAGAGATGGAGGGACCAAAAGAAAATGTGAGCCCATCCACAAGGCATATGAGGATCTGTCCACAGGACAGCAAAGCTCTAGAAATGATAGTCGTAAGAGTCTGCTACACTTGGAAGCCTCTGAAATATACACAGCCAAACAAAACACAACATTTCAAGAAATGCCAGTCGCTCAGTCAAGGGGCTCAGTGCCAAGGGGGAGATAGACAAGGACTGTCCCAAACCCAGAGAAGCCATAAAACTCCCCAAAATTATAATGTTCTTATAGGAGCTGTTGTATACAAACTAACAAGCCATCAGAGGACACAGTAAAAGAAACCATAGCAAGATAAAGCAAAACTGACAAAAATAGAGGGACTTGGACTTCATGTAGCAGCCTCTGGAATTACATTATCAGCTTCTTAGAGAGGGAGGTCCAAGGGTCAAAAGTCAACTTCCATTGGTATTGCTTGCGTATTGCAGGGTATCTGACTTTGGATGTAAATGTTTAGATTCTTTGACAAATGTGATGAGATTAGACCTCTTTTAAATGAGATTAGTGGTCAAATAATATATGGGGAGATCCTGCAAATGAGGTATCCCTATACACATATACAAGATATTAGTGTAGGTAGTCATGATACCAATGAGAGTGGTAAGGATAATCACAGCAGTGATAATTGTAGTAGTGGTAGTGGTTGTTATAAAAGCCCCAGTTTAAGAATACTGCTCAGATAATGTTTGATCCCAGATATGGTACCCATGTGACTCCCAAGGTGCAGTCAACCTCTGTGCTGTGCAAGACATGGATTATTGACCCAATAAATTCTCCTGCCTTTTTCCCAACAGAGCAGAGAAACGGAAAGCAGTTACACAGCATTAGGCAGCTCTCATTTCTTACCCAGTCGTTCATTCTCCTGGACCTCAAATACGCTTACTGGTGATGGGCATGTAGGTGGATTATCATTAATGTCTTTAACTTTTACATGAATCGTCAGGCGGTATGAAAGTGCTTCTCCATACTCATCCTTTGCAACTGCATAAAAAACATACTACAACAGGAAAGTCAGAGTTAAGACAAGACTCACCCACCACCCTCTGCAAAAGGCAGAGAAAATAGCCGTTTCATTTCTATGTCATTTACTCCCTTATTTTTAATTTACTTAAAACTGGGAAATAAGAAAAAATGAGAGGGGTCAGAATTATGTGAAAATTATCATGTCTTTGAAAACCAATAATATGCTGAAGACTGGAGGGTGTGTGTGTGTGTTTTAAGTAAAATCCATTTTGCTCTCAACTGTGGATGAGCATGGGACTTTGTCTTGTTGCCTTCTTCTCTTTTACTCACTGCATCCTTTTCTTCTCGGTCCAGGGGCTGAGTCACATAAATATCTCCTTCCTGGTCAATTGAAAATGGGAATCTTGGCCAATTCTCTTTGTCAACTAAGGAATATTGTGCACCAGGATCATTCCACCGCACCTATAGGACCCAAAGTCAATTGTGAGGAAAGCTACATTTGGACAGAGAGAACGGAAAGGAAATAATTTTCTGGTTCTCAGCTAGAAATCTCTGACAACCTTGTTTGTGTGTCTGTGGTTTCTTATAACAACTGAATTACATTTTTCACTTTCAACCTAAAAGAAGTCTGTTCCCTGCCCCACCCCCACCACCAAGTTACATTGCTCAAAAAAAAGCACACCAGGGAATTTTTCTTCTCTAAAGCAATTCTTCACAAACCATCTAAAGGGTTTCTGGGTTGCTTTCTTTTAGAAGTCTGACTGTGAAAGCTTCCTATCCATGAAACATCAATTTAAGAAACAAAATGTACTTTGTAGCTGGCAGTGTCTGAGGACTAAGCCGTGATGTGTGGTGAGCGTCTAACACTCACCAATGAAGATGAACAGGGGCAGTAGGTTCCACTCTAAAGTCCTCTCCATGTCATTAAGTAAGACAAATGATACAAAAATAAGGACATTCCTTCCCTAAATATTTAGTCTTAGGGACTTCAGAGATGAGAATAACTGCCAACTCCTAGGGTTGTTTGTAAACAACCTGGCAAAAATAAAAAATAACACAAGTAAGACCAATCTACTGGCTATATAGACAGAGCCTGGTCTCTCTGATATATTAATAATGTTTACTGAGTTTGCCACATGGCAGACATAATTCTAAACATATTTATGTGTTATCTCATTTAATCTTCAAACAGTCCTATGAAGTACAGACTACTGTTATGAAAAACTAGGGTGCAAAAAAATTAAGTGACTCACTCAAGGTCCTACTGCTAGTTGAAATTTCCACAGTAAACTATCCTCAGAGCAGCCTGGGAAGGTATCACAGAAGCGACTTTGTCCCTTCCTAATTATTTAAGCACCACCCATTGTCCATGCAAAGACTACTGTCTTGGTTTTAAAGGGAGCTCCTCTTGTGTCCTAAAAATTCACCCTAAGTTCCTTTCATTCTCTTGAGCTATGCTCTTTCTCTCTCTTCTCTTGGATTTTATAATACCCAGAGCATTTTCTCCAGGCCTGAAAATTGAGTAGGCACTCTAGAGTGTTTCCTTGGCAGCCCCAAGAGCCATTAAGCATACGTTCTTTGCAGCTCTTACAAATCCCAATGGGGGTAACGTGAATAAGAGCTAGGAAGACTTTAGTCTAGGCCCCCAATTGGAAATTTTCATGGTAATGAGTGCTGACATGATTTTTTTCTAACTGGGAAAGCAGAATTCTTCCTGCTGTTGTTCCTTTCCCCTACCCCCTGAAGTTGAAGTTCTTTAATTCAACGTTCAAGAAAGAAAGAAATAAATGTCCCTGGGCCCATCCCAATAAATATGATGGGATAAGCCATTCCAGGGCCCCTCAACAATAGTAGCATTAAAAAAAAAAATAGGGGAACTACAGACTAGTACTATTTTATAATATTAATATATTTTAATATCTAGCATTTTATTTACTTTTACAGATACTATCTCAGTTAATCTTCACAAAACACTGAGGTGTTATCCCTACTTTATTGATGAGTCATTGGGGCTCGAAATAGTTAAATGACTTGTTTATGATCAGTCATTCAAGTAATGGGACGGGAATATGATTTTGTTCATCTGCTTCCAAATCCAGGGATCTGGACCTACCAACCCACAACTTTCATGTCGAGGAATCTCCTGAGCTTCCAGAAAATATCAAATCTGGGTGGGGCCCAGAGTGGATTTCCAGGAGCTAAGGTAGGAGGAGGCCCAGGGTGAGAGCACATGCCATGGAGGTGGGGAAGTAGGAGCGTCTGAATGGAGGGGAGAGGCACACACAGGAGACAGAAGGCCAGGGGCGAGGGAGTTTCCAAGTGGAAAGGCTCCCTACTATGATCCTTTTACCCCTAGCCAGTCCTATCTCTGTCTCTTAGCCTATGATGGGGCAAGTCTGTTGGGTCAAGATTTTCTTCCACAATAAGAAGCAGCCTTTCAAAACGATTTGTAACCCACAAATCAAACCATGTCCAAGCATACAATATGACCCACTGCAGGGCAGCCATATCCCACACTCACAGGGAACAACAAACTTCATTTCTGTCTACTTTTAAGGCGAGGGTGAGGGAAGTTCTCTCTGAAAGCAAAAATGTATATCTGATGTAGTTTGGATGTCTGTCCCTTCCAAATCTCATGTTGAAAATAATCCCCAGTGTTGGAGGTAAGGCCCAGTAGGTGAGTGGATCATGGGGGCAGATCCCTCGTGAATGACTCAGCATCATGCCTTTGGTGATAAGTGAGTTCTCACTCTGAGTTCACATGAGACCTGGTGTTTAAATATGTGTGGCTCCTCCCAACTAACTCTCTTGCTCCCACCCTTGTCATGTGATGCTTCTGCTCCCCCTTTGCCTTCTGCCATGATTGTAATTTTCCCAAGACCCTCACAAAAAGCAGATGCTGGAGTCATGCTTGAACAGCCTGCAGAACCATGAGCCAATTAAACTTCTTTATGAATTACCCATCCTTGGGTATTTATTTATAGCAATGCAAAAATGGCCTAACACAATATCTGCATCCAAGTTTTCTGCCCATGATGCATGGTCAAGTCCAGTGACTCATGGCCAGAGCTATATAATGTGCTTTATAATCATGCTATGCAAAAATGTATCTAATAAATGTATCAGCGAAGACCGTGAGGGTGGGTCTGTACAAAATGAGGCCATTAATCTTGCTGGTTCTCAGTACTACCTCGGTACTACTCTACTTGGGCTTGGGTACTACCTGAGTGATTTTGATGGGGTGAGGATCAGTCGAGTTTTCCACGATCTCCACAGGTTCCGGTGCTTTCCAAATATTCTCTGTCACTATGATATCCACAGATGTGGTATCACTGAAGGAATTCTCACTCTGGCCACCCATGTCCTTCACTGAGACCACCAGATTATAGGAAGGATTCTTAGCAGGATCCAATTCCTTAGCTCCTATGAGAAGTAGGGGAGAAGGGAATAGGAAGCGTCTCTGGAAGAAACAGACCCAACTACTTCCTTTTTCTGACTGAGACAGTCCTACCAGGGCACCCCTGAACGTACCTTCTCGGGTAAGAGAGATGCCCCCAGTTTTGTTGTTGATCTGAAAGTACATGATATTGTTGATCATGGGAAGCTGGATAACAATCTGGTAGTAAAGCTGGGCATTGGGAGTGGCTGGATCATCCAGGTCTGTGGCGTTGACGTACAAGAAGGGCTTTCCTGTTTAACACAGCATACCCAGAAAAAAGATATTAATTGAAACCCAAACCAACCATAGCTACTTTTTCCTTCTAAAAAGTGGAGATAGAACGGGAAAAGGAGTGATAATTCACGCTAGTGGTGAAATAAAAATTTATCCCACTCCCCTTCCCTAAAGTAAGATTTCTCAAGGTATGGTCTAAGATCTTCTAAGGGTCCCTGAAACTGTTTCAAGCGCTCTATGAAGCTAAAGGTCATGTATGTGTAAATGATCCATTTAAAGTACAAGATAATTTAATGAATTCTAGTGTAAAAGAATGGAAAATATGGCATTGATGTTGATTTCACTTTGCAACTAATATTTAAGAAACCACCATTTATTGAGTTTGGGTATAGTACTAAAGAATGTCCAGTTACCTGAAAATACTATTAAAATATTCCTCTCTTGTCCAACTGCATATCTGTGTGAAGCTAATTTTCCTTCATATATTTCAACCAAAATAGCACATGGCAACAGAATGCATGTAGAAACAGACATGAGAATCCAAGTATTTTCTATTAATCCAGATGTTAAAGAGATTTGCAAAGATTAAAGCAATGCCATTTTTTCCCACTCTTTTTGTCTTGAATATACAGTTATTTTCATAAACATGTGGATTAGTGTTATTTTTAATGAATTAATAATTTTTTAAATTTCTAATACAGTAAATGTTGATAGATATAACCAGTGATGTATTAGAGACAGCTAATGAGACTCAGTTGTTGAACTTTCAGAAATCTTCTGCATCAATTAACACCAGTGGTCACTTGCAATGGGCCATGGTAGGAGTAATTACAACATGGAAATTGGAAAATTCTACAAATCAGAGCTTTGTCCCCCCCAAGAGAAATAGCTGTTAAGCCTTTACCAGGACACCACTGAATATAACCCATGTGTCTAAAAGTTCTTTGGAGCCCTCAGTAAATTTTAAGAGAATATACAAGTCTTGAAACCAAAACGTTTGAGAACCATTCCCTAGAAGATTCTATTAGTGAAGAGAGAAAAGGTACAGCCTGGAGGTCTGGAGGCTTCACATTTAGCAGAGTCTGTGTGAGTCTTTGGTATGCAGCCTGAGGGACAGGGACATTGCTCCACAGAATAAAGTTAAGTGAATTTTTTTCCTGAATTTTTGGTAGCAGGCATTGAAGAAAGAGAAGGAAAAGATGAAGTAACTTAAAGAGAAGCTTGATGGTGGGATGATGCAAATGGTCCTAAGTCTTGATTAGTATTATTTTAAATGAGTATCTTTTTAGATTTCTAATACAGTAAATGTTGATAGATATAACTAGTAATGTACTACAGACAGCTTATATTCGAGAACTCAAAAATCTAATATTCATTTATGTTGTGTGTATTGTTAGAAGGTGACGCTCCTTCCTAGGAGGCTGCTGGACACACTCATGCCTTATGAAGAGCTCTTGTGGAAGTGCAATGTGGCATAAAGAAGGGCTGAACCATAGCTGGGACACGAGAAGAAAAGAGCTGGAAACCACCAGTGACAATGGCAATGGAGGCTCCTGAGAAGATAAGGGGTAATAAGTACACCTTTCTAGAGTGTTCTAGAGCTCTGAGGTATCTTAAAGCTCACCCTAGAAAACTGTTTTTTAACTAGAGGTAATTTTTTTTTTTTGAGACAGAATCTCCCTCTGTTGCCCAGACCAAGCGCAATGGTGTGATCATGACTTACTACAGTCTGAATCTCCTGGGCTCAAGTGATTGTGCTGCCTCAGCCTCCCAAGGAGCTGGGACTGCAGGCGTGTACACCACACCTAGCACACTTTATTATTTTTTTGTACAGACAGGGTCTCACTTTGTTGCCCAGGCTGGTCTCAAACTCCTGGCTCAAGTGATCCTCCCACCTTGGCCTCCCAAAGTGCTGGGATTTTGTGCCCCTCCAGCTCCCAGCAGAGGACACTTGGCAGTGCTTGGAGACATTTTCATTGTCACAACTTGGCGGGGGACACATAATGGATAGAGGTCAGAGGGATGTTGCCAATCATCCCACAAGGCACAGAACAGCCTCTGATCAAAAAAAGAATTACCAGGCCCAAGATGTCAACACGTAATGCTGCGGTTGAAAGACCATGCTCTAAAGCAACAGAGATAGTGAAACAACTCTCAGATCGGTGTGAAATGTAGGTAAGATAGTAAGTGCCTACTCAGTGACAGTTGCAGCTGTAAGTCGCCAAAGTCTGCCCCTTCCACCTGACACCCTTCCATCTTTCCATAAATCTCTCTGGCCCCTGCCTGTTACCTGGGCGAGAGTTCTGCCTTACTGAGCCTTCATACTTTGACTGGAGAAACATGGGTCGATTGTCGTTGATGTCCTTCACTTCTATGGTGATGGGTACTGGACCCTCCACTACAGCTCCACTGGCATCTAGGGCTGCAACCTGATGTTGAGGAAAAGGAAAGCATGTTGATGAGACTGGACTTCATGTCACATGCCCAAAAATCATTGGAAGGAAATTAGAGCTCAAAGAACCAATGGCCTAGTGACGGTAGGAGAGAAAGAACTCATAAAAGCCTAAATTGGGAGCTGCTAAAATGGAGATTGTATCAGCTAAGCCTGGCTAATCGTGACGGTGACTTTCTAGCAGTGGGGTGTGCTGGACACTGACCATGGGTCTGTTCTGGATGGCTGGAGTCCATGAAACAAGGGCGCTTTGACCCCTGAGAACATGAAAGTGTGTCCTCTTCCAGAGCCATTTTTGTGGTCAGCCTGCAGGGCCCGCAGCAGAAGTACCCGACAGAAAGCTTTCGTCTCACTCTTTTTTCCATCGTTAGCTTTCTGCCTTTACTAGGTGTTTAGATACCAACTGTGAAAACTAAAGGCGAATGAGTGGGAGAAGGATCTTTTTAGTCAGCTTCTGGCTATCGGTTCCTTCTGCTTCTTCCAATGCTCAAAGGAGCTCCATCCCTGCACTGATGCAGCCTTCTTTATGGGTTTAAGCCAGTGTAAGGGCTTAGACCTTCAGGCTGATACCACTGAAGTATCAGAAACATGTTGACTTTTGATCCAAGTACATAAGCATGGCCTTATTTGGATAACTAATGCTGTCGGAGGGTCCTGGCAATGTAAATGGGATTACTCTGGTTAAAAAGCCTAAAGAAAAGGATATGTTTGCCACACCCCTCTGTAGTTGGTAAGAAACAGACAAATGAGGATTACAAAAGCATGCCACTAATGTAAGGAAAGCTGTATCTGGGGCCTATGCAAGGGAGGAAGGTGCCAGCAATACTTCCAGAACAAAGGGTGCTCAGAGAGGCTGGAATTAGATTCCTTCACCTGGTGTCAATTTACCTGGAGATTATGAGTGGATCTTGCTTCCCTGTCCAAGGCTCTGGTGTAATACAGAAGTCCATCCCGTTCTATCATAAATATGTTGTCTGTCTCCCCAGTTAGTTGAAAAGTCACAGCAGGAGGATTGGCCTTAAACTAGGGGGGAAAAAAGCAAAAAATAGATTAGGTTGTAAGGGAAGAAACCATGTTGTGGAATTTGTAAAAGGTCACCAATTTCAGGTAAAATTTTCATTGCTTCAATTACTAAGCAAGAAATCCTCAATTTTTAAAGCGATGCCTTCTAAAAGTTTGCTTGCACAATAATTGTGTAACATTCAACATACATTTTCCTCAAGAAACAGTATATAATATGATTCGATACATTGGCAAAACTCATTGATGCTTTAAATTGTAGCTGGGATTAAAAGAGACTTTTTGGTAATATCTGAAGTCTATGACATTACTAGTTTCTAAGAAACATTAGAAGGGATAGTTTTCTTGCTAGGATAAAATGTCATTTAGCACTACTAAAAATTGCATCAAAGATTAATAAACACATTAATTTTAAGGAAAGTTTATAAGTGGCTGCAACTTAATGCAAACACTATGTGATAACCTATTACTTTTTCAGAAGTGAAGAAAATACAAACCACCATATTCATAGATATGGCTATATCACTTTTAAGACCATGAGAACAGAAAATTCACATACAATGAAGAAAACATAAAAGTTGTTCAACCTTATTAAGTTTTAATATACTTTTATATATTTTATTAACAAATTTAAAACAATATCAATGTTAGTATGGATGTAAAGAAACGTTGATGGAAATATAAATTCCTATAATCCATTTAGAAATAACTTGAGGCATAAAATTGTATACCCTTTGATAGCAAACATTACTATATAGAATTTATCCTAAGGAAGTATTTTTTTTTCAAACAAGTACATGCTTGTAGTGTAAATAACTTTATTTATAATACTAGTAAGGTTGAAAACTCCTAAATGGTCAAAAAAAAGGACAGCGAAATTATTATGGCACATAAACCTGACAGAATATTAATCATGAAAATGTTCATTCTATAAATTATGAGGAAACATAAGAAACAATAATGTAAAGTAACAGAAGTAAATTTGAGAGTAAATCTAGACTGATGTTTATAGTACCAAAAGAATTCATGTCAGTAGGCAAGAAATGGAATTTTAAAAAAATACAAAATAGTTGATGTGTTAAATGGGCAAGATTATAAGTAAAAAAGTTTTTGTGCATCCTTGCTTGTTGATATTATATTGTTTATATAATAAATGAAAGTGTTGCTATTTTGTGTTTTCAGAAAAAGACGTGGACATCAGTGGGAAAGGTGGAGTAAGGACTTGCAGAAAACTGCTCCTCCATAAAAGCAATGAGAACACTGGCAAAAATTGTAAATATTTTTTTCAGAATATGGGAAATTAACCAGATGCTTGCAAAATCCAAGGAATGTTTATTTAAAAAAATTAAAAAACTACTAAATATCAGTGAAAGCCAAGCTTTGTAGTGTTTTAATGCATCCTAATCCCATGGTCCTTTCCTAAGATCTGAAGTAGCCTTGACAACAACAGCCTCATGCCACAGTACCATGGAGAGGGCAAGAAGTGTTTGTATCTTCCCAAAAGCTCCATCACCAGAGAACTATCATTATCTATGCTGTTGGCATTTCCCTGGGAACACCTACTCACAGGCTCATCTTCATTTGACCTGACTCAGAATTCACACATTACACACAATTTTTCCCCTGGGGCATTTGTTGAAAACAACCATCAGCAATTGTTCAACACTGTAGTTACCTGAGACTATGATAACAGTTGAAGCAAAGAAGCAGCTGACCAAAACACTTAAAAGAGAAAGCCTGGAGTGGTGGTGGGGGTGGGGGCGAAATGAGATGTCCATAACGGGCTTTGGAAAGCTCTAATATATTCCTGGCAATCTATAAAGCCACCATCATGAGCAGGGCTGTGCACATGCCTGGGAAATGCCTGAGAAGGCCCTAATCCCTCACCTCTGGCTGACCTGGTGGCTCTGCATAAGCAGAAAAGGAAGGCTAAGGCAGAGTTGTAAACAGCCTGCCACACAGTTGAAGGTGTGTCTCAACATGCACCCAGTGCCCCTTGATAAACACCAGGAGACTTACTGGCTTAAGGCATTTAGGGAAACCTCTATCTAGTCATTAGCTGATCACTAAGCTAACTAAGCAGAGATTTCAGTGGCCAGACATGACAAAGAATACAGGCTTTACAGAATTCATTCAGGGAAGTCACTAAGCAAACAAACAGCATCAACAACCAACTCTAGGAAAAAGAAGATATATGATTTCTAGGGCTGCCATATCACATTATTTAAAATGTTCAGTTTTCAACAAATTATGAAACATACAAAAATATTAAAAAGTTAAGTCAATAGAAACTGTCCCTAAGAAGCCCAGATGTTGGATTTACTAAAGATTTTAAATAATCTATTTTAGATAGATTCAAAAACTAAAAAAAAAATATATCAAAAGAATTAAAGTTTAAAAATAATGTCTCATCAGATATCAAATATTGATTAAAAATAGAAATTTTTAAAAATAGAAATTCTACAGTTTATAAGGATAACTCAAAGGAAAAATTCATAAGAGGATGTTCAAAAGCAGATTTGAGCTAGCAGAAGAAAGAATTTGTGAACTTGAAAAAAGATTAATAGATATTATCTACCCTAAGTATGGAAAGAAAAAAAATGAACAGATCCTCAGGGACCAGTGAAACACTATCAAGCAGACAAGCACATACATAATAAAAGTTCCAGAAGAAAAGGAAAGAGTTAAGGGGGAAGGAAGATTATTTGAAGACAGAATGACCCAAAACCTCACAAATTAAAGAAAAACATGAATCTATATATTCAACAATCAATGAACTCCAAATAGAATAAACTCAAAGAAATCCAAACCTAGTCACATCATAAACATTTGAAAGATAGAGAGTCTTGAAAATGCATGGACTCATCACACACAAAGGATCCTCAATAAAATTAACAGCTGATCTTCCATGGAGATCAGAAGGTGGTGGAATGACACATTCAAAGTGCTGAAAGAAAGAGTGTCCAAGTAAGAATTGTAAATCCAACAAAGCTATCCTTCAAAATGAGAATAAACTGTATTACTATCAGACAAAAAAGACTTTAAGACAAAATTTTCAAAGACAAAAAAAGGATATTCTACAATGATACAAGGGTCAATCCATAAAAAAAACATAACAATATAAATATATATATGCACCTAACAACAGACCTCAAAACACATGAAAGAAAAGCTGACAGAATGGAAAAGAAATTAAATAATTCAACTTTAATAATTGAAGATTTCAAGACTTCACTTTAAATAGAATAGAAAATTAATAAGGAAACAGAAGACTTGATCAATACTATAAACCAATCAGAAGCTAACAGACACCCAACACTCCATCCAATGAAAGCCAATCACATGGAACATTCTCCAGGATAAGTTGTTTGTTAGATCATAGACAAGTTTCTATAAATTTAAAAGGATTGAAGTTATACAAAGTATTTGACAACTGAATAAAATTAAATATAATAGAAGGAAATTTGGGCAAATACATACACTTTGGTCAAAGAAGAAATCACAAGGGAAATTAGAAAACACTTTGATATAAATGAAAATGAAAAGAAACACAGTATGCCAAATCTTATGGGATGCAGACAAAGCAGTACTTAAAGGAAAATCTATCACTGTAAATGTGTAAAGTTAAAAAAGATGAAATATCCCAAATAACCTAATCTTCTACTAAAAATACACACACACACACACACACACACACACACACACACACACACGAAAAAGAAGAATAGCAAAGAAAACAGAAGAAAATAATAAAGATCTGAATGTAAATTAATAAAATGGAGAATATAAAAGCACAGGAGAAAAGCCAACAAAACCAGAGTTGATTATTGAAAAGATCCACAAAAGTGACAAGTTATTGACTAGACTGACCAAGAAAAATGAGGTAAGATTCAAATAACTAGAATCAGGAATATAAGAGGACATACTGCTATCAACCTTATAGAAACAAAAAGTATTAAGGAGTATATTATGAGCAATTGTTTTCATCTAGACAACCTAGATGAAATGGGAAAACTTTTAGACAGACAAAAACTACTAAAACGGACTCAAGAACACATAGAAAATCTGAATAGAGCTATAACAAGGGATTGTGTTAGTAATCAAACAATTTCCACACACAGAAAAGCCCAGAACCAGATGGCTTCACCAGTGAATTGTACCTAACATGTAAAGAAGAATTAACACCAAACCTTCAGAAATGCTTCCAAAAACTAGAAGAGTAAGGAACACACACTCAGCTCATTCCATGAGGCCAATATCCTGATACCCAAACCAGAAAAAGTCAATGTAAGAAAACTTCAGACCAATACCTCTTTTGAATATAGACACAAAATTTGTCAATGAAATACTAGCAAACTGAATCCAGCAACATATGAAAAGGATTATATACCATTACCAAGTCGAAATTATCCCAGAATACAAAGCTGGTTCAATATATGAAGGTCAATTAATGTAATACCCTATATTGATAGAATCAAGGACAAAAACCACGTATTTCAATAGAGGCAGAAAATCGTTTGACAAAATCCATCATCCTTTCATGATAAAAACACTCAACACACCAGGAATAGAAGGTGACTTCTCAGCCTAATAAAGGACACCTAAGTAAATCCCACAGCTAACATTGTACTTAATGGTGAAAGACTGAAAGCTTTCCCCATAAGATTAGAAACAAGACAAGGGTACTTAATCTTCCCACTTCTATTTAACATTGTACTAGAGATTCTAGCAAGGGGAATTAGGCAAGAACAAGAAATAAAAGATACCAAAATTAGAAATTAAAAAGTAAAACTATCACTATTCACAGATAACATGATTTTACATAGGAAAAGTTCTACAAAACCTAAAAAAAAAAAAAACCATTACAGCTAATAACAAGTATTATAAGGTTTCAGGATAAAAGATTAACAAATAAAAATCAATCTATTTCTCTCCATTAACAAAGAGCAATGCAAAATGATATTTTTTAAACTCCATTTACAATCAGATAAAAAATGACATAT